TTTCTACCCCTTGAAATTTAAGGCAGATATCTAAAACCTGACAGGCATGTCCAATCTAAAGAAGATTACAAACTGTACTTCGGTTGCGAACTGCAGAGTTAAGTCCTTGAAAATTTACAGGTCCTAGTACGTGAACACCATTTACCTATTGGAGCCGTATGTGTACACAACTATAATATAAGTATATCACTCGAAACACAATATCAGTAAGGTTATCTGTCCATAAAGCCGACGCTGAAAAGGTATGATTATAGAAAATAACAACTGAACATATACCTGCCTCAAGAGTGCAATATAACACTGTGGCTCATAAGAAACTAAAACTTCCATGACATAATTTGAAGTTACAAAAAAGAATAGTTGGGATAATTACGATAATCTGATCTTTCCACACCTCTCTCTGGATAATCTCCATAATAATACAATTGAGGTTTTTTATGTTTCTGTATAATGAAAAACTCTTGCCCAAAATTTTTCATGATTATATACAAGAGGTAATTTGATTATTGATTATGGTTGTTCCTCCTTTTCTTATACAAATAAAACATGTTTGCGAGTGCATTAGTGAATATGCACTGAACGCAGGTTAAGTCACGGTAGGATAATGAACGAGATAATGACTTAACCGAGTGCAGTGCATATCACTAATGCACGAACTAAAACATGGATTATTTGTTTTATAAGATGCATCTACAATATGAGTATAAAGTCGAGAAATTGACTGTTGTCACGGTCATCACCAAAATGCACTCCCCGTGCATATGGTAAACATTAATGCACGCACAGTAGATCCATTTCGACGCTTCTCATTGGCTACATTCTTGAACCCATTTTTATAAAGATCAATAACATGCAAGGAACCTCTTTTACAGAAAAATATACCACAACACATCAAAAACACTAATTCGATATACTATTTCAAACGTATTAAAAGTACTAAAACTACTAATTACTAAATATGTTAGATATTTGGAATTGTTATATTGTTACAAAAGGTTTGAATATGGTTAATTTACCATTCTCTGTGCTACTTTGTTTTACTATTGTATTTTTGTTTTTTCTTATGTTTGTTTTGTTTTCATAATGCGACCACGTTTACAAGTTGTACCAAACTTTATATAATCCCACCACGTTTACATTAATCTTTCTTCTTTTAATATTTGCTTGTACTGTGTAATTGCTTTTACATATATTTTGTCATGCTTTATACATGTTTTTAAAATTGAGATGTGAAAATAAATTCAATACACTTTAATTCATAAAGAATGTGGGTTGACTGAGTGAAACTAGACTTTGTAGTAAATGGGAAGGATGGTTATGTGTTATAACAATTTGAACTCCCAGGAATGACTATTCTAACCCTTATTAAATAAAAATGATAACAACAGGGAAACAAAACTTTGTTACTTATTCAGTAAACTGTTTTGTTATTTTGATATCTTTTATAGGCAATTGTTGGAACTTGTATGTACCTTTTAATAACAGGGACTGCCTCCACAGAACAGTATGGTTCTATTTGCAGTTTCCCCAATTAATTTCTTTGTTGAGTAACTTTGTATAATTCCAGTATATTTGTTTCTATTTTGTGTGTGTTCTGTGTTTTCTATATTGTATATAATCTACATCTTATGTGTTTTATGGATTTGAATTGAAATAAAACTTGAAACTTGAAGTATCATCATAAAGTAAATAAAACAATGGTTAACAATGTTAAAGAACTTTTGTTTTGGATACAATATATTTCATTGCAAAAATAAGAATGCGGTGACATATAGACTCACATCATTGGAATACATAGACTTGGCATGGTAACATATACATCAGCATTGCTAATCATCTTAAGCAGACACAACACACAATTCTATCTAATCATTTGGCTTGTACACTTCAGCATAGGAAGAAAACAGTATATATGCACAGATAAAAAAACAAAAGCTTCTCAAACCTTCATTCTAAAAATCAGAACATCTATTCTTTTAGATTATGGTTTGACCTATTCCTCCACAGTAACTGTCTTTGCCGATTTTTGTTTTTAACAGACGAGAGTAAGCTACGAGAAATATTAAAAGGATATTGCCTATCTTAAAAGAAGAATGCAGGAAAGCCAATGATGTTGCTATTATTTTCTGTTACGATTTAGACATATAAACACTCTTCATTTCCACCACCTCACAGGCAAGTAAATGATTTTTTTAAAGTAAATAAATCATTTAATACTCAAACTTGTGTTTGCCAGGCAATTTACAGTTTAAACCAAACTACTAAATCTCTTTATTTCTCTTTTGAATTTTCAAAAGTATCTTTCACACTGGTTCAATGAGTTATGAACATCTATCATCTTGTAAATCATAACTGAATACCTACAAAGGCCTTGTCAAAAATCTTTCTTTTAAACAGTAACCAACATCTCAAATGTCATACTTGTCTTATCCACCATTAGGAACTTGTACCTTGAACAATTCACAAAACTGATTAAAAAACTATTAATTACAATGTAATAAAGAAGCAATGAAGAAATTATCTTAACTTGCATACTGATTGTAACTTAATATTTGCATATCAAATCATTGTAATGCTGAACTGCATTTTAGAGTTCTTAATTCTTTTTATCATACTCATCAAAGACAACACATTTTATTGCAAATGTACCATAATTGCACGCTTTCATAACTCTTTGCATACTTAGGTTGAACATGAAACAATGGTGAAAAATAAATTACATTACTTAAAACAAATATCTTGCACTTAAGGGGAAGGACACAATATTATTTTTGAAAATTCAGACAAGGAGTAAGAGTCAAAAACGGTACAACGAATCATCTTCTTTCCCTAATAATTTAATGAAACGTCAAAGCTTCAGGGCAGAAACTCCTACCTTCCTAAATAAAATCCTAGCTACGCGCTTGCAGTACAATACACAATGTACATTCACATACTGAAGGTTATTGGATCACTACTTAAAAAGGCACTCAAACATGGTCCTCATACATCACGTTGAAGTGAAGGATAATACTGCTGAAGAAATACAATGCCAGTGTCGCTGTCCGTTAAATGCCAACAGGAATTAAATCATTTCTAATCGAAATAATCTGAAAATGCCTCTAATTCATTTAATCTTCTCCTGAATTAGATTTCACACATGAGGCAGCAAAACAACTTACATAGTAAAATACTTTCACATAACATGCTGTAGTACTTAATAATATATTTGCACAAAACTAGCAATACAGTAATTTCCCACTTGTATACATTATTAGGAGCGAATACAATTCCAAGACAAGAGTGGAACAATTTCGTTAAGACATCGATAGGATTATATCAGCAAATTTGTCATTAAAAATCAGCAGACACTTCTTCAATTCATGGATGTTGAGAAATAAAATATGAATGAGATTAAAATACCGGTAATCTCAGAGCATATTTCCAACATGTAATAAGTAGTTTGTTTTCACCATTGCAAAGTACATTCTTGTCAATATTAAGAATGAATACCATACAATTGAATGACATGCAAATCATTCAAGCACCATGAGACAGACCTAAACCATGAACTAATATCTTTCAAGCTCATTCTCTTTTCCTTCTTCCTTCATAATTTATTTTGGCACCTATGGTACTATGTCCTGATTCTTCGAACAAAAAATATGTATTTTTACTTAATTACAGTTGAAAATGCTCCAATCATGATTCATCTTAAAAAATACCTTGAAAAAACTTGCACATTTTGGGAAAACTTGTGATTTACTACCGGTAACTAGTTAGAGAAGAATAATGCATTGCATCCATATCAAATATTTTTCACACCAAATTAATATCTTATTCAGAATCACTAAATCTTTCCTTGTGGATGAAAAACCTGTGTTTGACACCTTGCAATGATGATTCATGAGATTCTCAAATAAAGACAAACTTATATCAGTGAATTACTGTAGATGGTTTTATATTAGCACAGGCCCATGCTTTGCACTTGGTGCACCTCAAAGATAACAATATCGGATGGCAAAGAGTTGCAGCAGTGAGAAAAGGAAAGAAAATCCACGGGTCTTGAACAAATTTCTGATTTGATCAAACTAAATAAGGCATAAATGTAGGCAAGCAAATGACATTGCAGATGTATATTCACATTTAAAACAATCCCACTGTTATGATTGTATGCCTTAATGAGTCAAATATTGCAACACTTTCTCTACATTTATCCACCGGGCAAAAACAACAGATAACATCCCCTTCTACTATTTTTAAATCATCATGTATTGAAATGAGCTGTGAAATGAGCTGTAAAATGTTCACCTTCTTGGCTTCTTCTATTCGCAATTTCTCAAATCCTTCTTTCAATCTTATATAGTTCATTGTATCATCACCAACCTTTCTTTATTTAATTTACCCCCCCCCCCCAAAAAAAAAAAAAAAAAACAGAAAGAAGAAATACAACTACTGGATTGTACCTCACTATTTATGCCACCTTTTCCATTTCTAATACCACTTTTCTACTAATGCTTCAATATGAGAATAATTTTCACCAAAACCATTTCCTTTATCACTATCAAACATTCTTCATACATTACATGGTAAACAAACTATACAAAAAATACCACTGCGGCAAAATAAAAAACATTTTATTGGCAAGTACGGACGGAAAAAAATTGGCTGAGTGCAATAAAGCCCGCTGGGTTCTTACTCATCTTTATGTTAAAAGATAAAGAAACGTTAAGCACACTACACTCATGCCACTTTATCGTGCAACAGGCAATTTGGGGGGGGGGGGGATTTCCCTTGTAAGGTGTGATCAAGGCTATGAACCACACACAGAAGAATAACAAAATGTCTTCCATTTCTCCAATATGACTGTTATGCCATTCTGTTTTCATACAAAGAATACAATTACAGTCAAACCTGTCTATAGCGACCGCCCAAGGGAAACACAAAAAGTGGCCTTTGCAGACAGGTGGTCTTTGTAGACAGGTGGTCTTTGTAGACAGGTTCCTTTAGTACATGATTCAATGAGAAACCATTTTCAAGGGAAACAACAAATGTGGCCTTTGAGTTTGTAGACAGGTAGTCTTTGTAGACAGGTGGTCACTAAAGCAGATTTGACTGTACTTATCCCATGATATCCACAGAGCTGATCCTGACACCTATAGGCTCTTACGGCACCATACAGTCAGTAGCACTAACATCATCAGCAATGAATGACTATGAATGCTCCTTTTGATCATCTTCTTCCATCTCTTGCTCTCCATCTTCTCCTTGTTTCTTCTGTCTCTCTACCTCAGCATCCAATAAACCCTTCTCTGCGTACGTCTTGGTCATCTCAAGGCGTAGTTTGTTGAGGATCTTGCGGTTTGGTCGGGCTCGGGGTGTGTCGTGAGTCAGCTCTGTCACGCTCTGTTCAGCTTCCTATAAAAACCAAGACAAGAGATTAAAGAGAAGGTTGAGTTCTGGGAAGAGGTGAAAAATAATTTGTAAACGTTATCATTGTTATTATACAAGTGTCAAAGAACATCAGATAACAAAATTCCCTAAAAAGCTACCTGGCTGCCACCGTCATGTGCTGGCGATTGGCAACCACATCTGTACATCTTCTGTTGTCTTTCTCCATTTGATTCTATCCTGTGCTAATCTTTTGGCTTCTGAATATGTGAGATCTGTCCATTATTTGATGTTATCAAACCACTGCTTTCTCTGTCTGCCTCTTTTTCTTTTTCCTTCTACTTGGCTTTCTATTGTTTGTGCTGCTAAGGGGCTCCCTGAAAAGCATGGCTCTTCAAATGCCTTAATATTCTAAATATGGCATGTAACAGCATAAAAATCCAGACAGATTTTTATGCCACATGTTCATGCATATTTCTGTGTACAGTGCTTATAGCTTTACCAAGACTGGGCCTAATTTCTTATCATTTTTGATGATTCCAGAACCTTGCAGTACACACAAATACTGATATGCTAGATGACCATCAAGAAAACAGTTTGAGAACCCCTGGAGTAAGCTGATGGATGAGATTGAATACTCGATCAAAAGAAACAATTTCTTGCGTATGTGTGTGGGGGGGGGGGGGGGTATAATAATTGCTTTTTGTCATTGTCTGTTTTCAAAGATATCAAACAGATATATTTGGTGGTGGTGGTTAATTTTTTTACCTGACTGCTAAGAAAGCATAAATGCTTGTAAGTAAGCAACCAGACAGCCAACGGCTTTAAGTCTTCTCCGAGGGACCTGGAATGAGGATTAATGCCTTACCAAAGGGCACTAGCGCATCGACTTGGTTTCGAACCCGGGTCATCGGATTACGAGACCACTGCTCTACCGACTGAGCTATCGCGCCTCCGCCACATCATTCTTACCTTTTTCTCTCTGTTTATTTCACTAGATCCCTTGCCATACATCTTGATAATGGCTCCCCAGCTCCTCAGCTCTGGATGAAGTTGCTACAAAAATGGACAAAATTAACAGTTACATGAAAACAACATGAACTGAACTATTGTACATCGTGTAGCAAGCACAGATCTCATTGACCAAATGAAAAAGAAGCCCACAATCACTCTAATTGAACCAATAGAAAATGCTTGTAACATAAGGATAAATGGCCTCTTAGAGGTTTAATGCAACAATCTTGGGGTAGGGGCTAGCTAGCAAAAAATATAGAAAACATTTTACGCTTCACAGTTAATAATGTAAGTCTTCTTTAATTGCTCTGTCAATCATTAAATTAATATCAATTTAAAAAAAACATAATAAAGAGGCAGATTTCTCATACAACAAACTCAACAGTTCCACAGTTTTTCAATCATTTTATTTTTCCTCGCAGGTCATGCAATTCAACCATTTTTCAATTTCACCAAAGAGTTCCACCAGCAGGAAGAGAAGACATGAAGATATATCTATACAATAAAAATGTCTATCAACCTTTTGTACAGTTGATACCATTTCTTTTCCTCCTTGTACCATGCAAGAGTGGCCTAATAACCCAGTCATTTCATGTTAAACTTACATCAAGCTAATCAAAGTTATACATGAACTAATAAATACTATTTCAGATGATAGAGACCATTTGAATTGATGAATTAACTTACTTTTAAAAGCTTCTGAGCTCCTTGCTGTTTCCCATTAGCTTTGTTCTTGCACATGCCCTAGAGTGAGAAATTGTTAGAGGTTAAAACACTTTGTAGAAGACAGATGGTAAATAATTGTCCTTTTTTTCTATTTGTGTATGCTTGGAAGTAGAACACAGCCAATGAAATCCATGGAATGGAATGTCTGCAATTTTTTAGAAATAACATTATTAGTGACAATTAGGGGGTTTAATCCATCACTGATATATTTCTTGTTTAGTAATAAGCAAAATTATTCAGAATTCATTTTAACAGCAAGCAATATTTCTAATGTAGTTTTCCATGAAATTATTGTTTTAGTCCTGAGATTTTTCCTGAGTTAAACATTTTCAGCAGTTGAGGCCATCTTCCACAATTTCCCCTCATACAAAATGTAACAGAAATATGGAAATAAACTATAACAATAAGAATAACAAGACTAGATGAGCACACATTTTATACTCACCGTTACTGTATGAGGACCTAGAGTCAATGTGTACTCGCTCCGTTGATGGTTCTTTAGCTTAATGTTCATACTGAACTTTGTGTCTGCCATACCATGACTCCTACAGATTACAAAATTAGAGGAAAAAAATATGAAAACTCCACTTTTACAAAAAGTATACTAAGCTTTCATTTTGATTATCAGTGCAATTGCATTACCAATGGTCTTTTGATGTTTGAGCCATCTATGTGCAAGAAAGGGAATATCTTTGTGTGTTTGTTTGTTTTTCACATGGGAGCGAGTATATTACCTACCCCTACAATGATTAAATCAATTAGTGGGAACATAATGTACATGTACACTGGCAAAACCACTTTGTATTTTCAATGACTATTTTCAATGACTGTTTGTACTGCCTGGCAAACGGATAAAAGGTCTAAATGATAGAGAAAACACTTTGGATAAAAAGTAAAAGCTCAAGTAAAAGCTAAAAGTACAAATATAAATATATTGAATAGTGAAACATCAAAATAATTAAATAATTGGCTATTCAATTTAATAATTTAACATTGTAAGTTGAAAGTCATACCTTTGTATATGTTCTTGAAGGACCTGCCATGGAGTGAGTTGTCCTGCCTTCATACATAGATCATAGATTCTGATGTCATCAATGGATACATGGTCAAAGTACTGAGGAAGATGCAAAGAACAAACAATCATCATTGACTGGTTCCCCTTACGGTATTTCCACATAGACCATGACACAACTTTGGTTTATTGTAGATTTAAGTAACTAGGAAAATATGATTTGTAACACATTCATCAAATGAACAAAACTTAAAGAGTACAAGGCAAGTACAAGATGAATAATAGACATGTCCCACACATAAAAAGTTTACAAGAATATCAAATAGAAATTGATATCAGCTATAATTACAATAATGTTTGCATGCATAAATGTTTTAAATCATTAAATTATATAAACCAATGACGTTGTATTTATAATTACCTCTGTATCGGATGGCGCTTTTGATTTAAAGTCTGAGATGAGTTCTGGCACTAGGATATCTAAAGTTTTCTTTGCTAAAGTAAGAAAGAACAAAAAACACAAAAGTATCAGTTATACAGGAAAAGCATGATAAAAAACCAGTCTTGCTTTCTATACAAACTCAACATTTTTTAGAAGAGATATGTCATAACATTCCGACACATTGAAATTCCTGTACAAACAGCATCTCGTTTACACAAAAAATCTACATATTGGCATTAATATTGGGTTACAAAGAAAAGCAAATGCAAAGATTAGTCATATGTTCTAACAAATTAAAAAAAACTTGTAGTAAAGATGGATGGGATGTACATGCATCCTAAAGGAGGAATCACATGCTCAGAGACAACCTGGAAGGGAAGATGGATGGTAAACTGTAGGATAGAGAAAGACTAAGAATTGGGATGTGGTCAGACCTGATATGTGACAGATCGACAGAGAAACGAAAGAGAAAGAACTAAAGATGACTCTGAGAGAGGGAAAGAGAGAGAGGGAGCGAGAGAGGGAGGGAGAGAGAGAGAGAGAGAGGGGAAGAAAGAGAAAGTGAGAGAGAGATAGAGAGAAAAGGAAAGAAAGAGAGAGAGAGAGGGGGGAGGGGGACAGAGAGACAGACAGAGAAAGAGAGAAGAGATAGAGAGAGAGAGAGAGGAAGACAAAGACAGAGGGAGGGAGAGATAGATATAGAGAGAGAGAGAGAGAGAGAGAGTGTGTGTGTATACAGGATACTGACCTGCTTCAGCTTTTGCTAATCTCTTACTAGTAGCTTCACCTCGACCATACTTCATACCCTTGATCTCTACCAGAGCTTCAAATGGAGCACTTGCATTTCCTGAACAAGGACAACAGCAACAAAGGTAAATAATGGGAATGCAGTCATTCGCTTCACTTAGTAAAAATCTCTTTCCTTACTGTTAATGTATTTGGATGATAACAAATATATGAATGTGTATTTTATCTGCAAGTAATATAAAATTGTCCAGGTTTCATTGTCTATCACTATCAAATAAAAAAAATGTGAGTTCATAAAGCACTTTCCATATTTCACAAATAATTTCAGTCTGCTTCATAATCATTATTAGAATCAAGAAGTCTACAACAATAAAAAAATATGGTACATTTGTTTAATGGATTTCAAGGAAACTGCTATCACAACTACAGAAACATCCATTTATGTACTTGGTAATCTATCCAAGCTTCAATCAATACTCGATCTTCTACTGATCTAATCATCTTTGTGTCAATATGGCCTTGAATGTAACTATTAATCCTAACATCATATTGCCTATTGCTTATTTACCCTAGTAGCTTTCTAACATTCTGCAAAATAGCTATTAGTAAGACCTGTATACGAATCCGTCAGTTAATCTTTCTATTAATCTATATATGTATCGACACATCGATTAACATGGCATATATACAATGAAGCTCTTTACTACTTTACTCTCTCATAACGGTGGATAGAAAGAAAAGAAGACTCACTGCTCTCTCCAAAGACATACTGTGGCTGTGTTCTCATGACTCTCTGTGCATACTCATGCAGTATACACACTGGGGTCTTGTCCTGTGCATTGATTACAAATTCTACAAAAAAGAGATAAGAGGATAAAGAATGAAAGCAATTACATTTGAAATCATTATATAAGTAATATTATATGTAATGAATATTAACTGATGTATAAAATATAACTTTCCAGACCCACAATAGCAACTCACAGCTTTCACCATTTTAATGATGGGGAATAGGGGAGTTATGGAAACAGATGTTGTTTTAAATCTCTCTTTCTCTGTTTCTTCCTCCCCAACTTTCCTCCCATCTTCCTCTTTCCTCCCCTTCTTCCTTTTCTCCCTTCTCCTCCTCCTCCTCCTTTCCCCTCTCTGTGTGCGTGTTTGTTCGTTTGCTCTGTCTCTTCTATCTCTCTTTCTCTCTCTCTCTCTCCTTTTCTCCCCTCTCTCTCTCTCTCTCCCTCTCTCTCTCTTTCTTATTATTCTCAGCTACAAGGATGCATCACTGGACTCACCTCTTCCTTTATTTCCTGGAATCTGACATCGTAGAACCTTAGGACCTCCAGGCTAAGCCATCAAAGACAAAGAGAACAATAATCAACCATACAGTAAAACTACTCTCTAAGCTTATCATTATAATCTAGTCTACAAGTTACAAGAAAGGATTAAAGAGATATGCATTGTACAGTCAACAATGCATCAATAAAAGTGTAATTGAATAACACAAAATCTCACATCCGCCCACCCACAAACTGACCTACTTATCTCACATAAGATTTCTTACATAAATGTTCAAACAAACAAAGTAATATAGTACATTTAAAAATTAAAGACAAGGAAGAAGGAAAGGAGATGGAGGTATAGATAGGCATCAGAAAGCTTAAACAGAGTAGAGATATAATTATCAAACTTACAAATTGAGGTCTATCTTTATGTTTTACTGCCTTGGTATATTTCCTTCTTGCTGCCCATGAGCTGCGGAAAAGAAATTAATGAGGAAAATATTAATGAAACTTTGCTTTATGAAACAAACAATTCTTGTTTTTTAAAGTATACATCCTCATTATTTCAGATACAAAATTGATGTACCGGTACACAAAACAGTGGAAATGGTTTGAATATGATTTCTTAGAGAATCATAAATGAATTCTCTCATAGTTATATATTACAGTATACTGCAAATACATTCACCAAATGCACCAAGTATGAAAGCTTATTATGTTTATTTCCTACACTGCCCTGCCAATTAAAACTGCAAAGGGACTTTTTCTATGTTAGTGCTATACACAGTACAAGCAATGTTCTAATTATGATTCATATTATCCTAAAAACTAATGCGGTTCAATACTATTTAAGCAAGATTTACTTAGACTTTTAAAATGCAAGTTGTTTACAATGCACTGTTGAGAATGAAATGCCAGTTGTATACAATTTTACAATACATACCATATTTTAAATACTGACTTTTTAACCATAGATACATATATATGTAAACACTAAACAGTAACAAATGAAATATTATTTACTCACTTGAATCTCTTGATTGCAATTTTCTCAAACTGGAATAATCTTGATAAGTACTCTTGAAGGTCCTTTCCATCTGTACAGCAAGTAAATTAAAGATAGAGAAGGGGCAGAGAAAATAGAAATCATGATGCTTGTGAATGTTATATGTGTTGTATGTCTTAAAAGGGTGATCCCATATTTGCTCCACACATTACCTCATCAAACATAAATGGTTAAGAGGAAGACAATTTGAGAATATAATGCATTAAATCTCTGATCATGGCAGTTGCTCTAATCAATTTCATGATAAGTTTTTAACCATAAAAGTATTCAAAAAGAAGATACATCTGTACCAAAAATCTTAATCCCTACCTGTATACAACAGTAATATATTTCAAGAGTTTTAATTTGTTTGACATGTCTAACAACAATTACTCTGCCCTCAAACTCAGTCGTGCCTACTAGACACTATAATGTGAATGAGAATCTACAAGGTATGGAATAGACCTGGGCATGAACAGCCTGCCACAGTCTAAGTCCAGCTTAAGTTGATCTTAGTCTTTGTGAAACACTCCCCTAGTAGAGTAAACAATATAGATTGTTAAGAGCCAGATGGGTGTCACCTTCATTACAAAGTAACCATAATTCTAGCACTCAACAGGCAATGAACAAGTGCTAAGTCTAACAAAAACAAAAAATAGCAACAACACAACAGTAATGCAGTCAAACCTACCTACAGAATCATCTTCACATATATGAACACGGTTCTTCTTCTTGCCGTTTGACCCCTCTCCTTTGACCTCTGACCCCTGATCCTTCATGTCTACATCAGGCTTTGATTGGTCGTCTGCTCCTCCAGCAGCAGGGGACGGTTGGTCAGGTAGATTTCCATTTGGGAGATCTGCACGATGCACAAGAAAGGATACAAGACAAACATCAGGGTCCCGTTTCACAAAACTTGTCATCAGTGACAAATGACAGCTTTTGTTATAAGCTACGGAAATCCTTGCTTCTGATTGGTTATCAGCAGATTTGTCACTGATATTTGTCATTTGTCATTGAAAAAAGGCTTTGTGAAACACCCCCCTGGAGACGATTGTAATGAGAACATCTTGATGAGCTATATATTTAAAAAAAGGTAGCTACATAGCCTATAGCTATATCAAACTGATATAGCCTATAGCTCATATAGCCTACCATAACTACACCCAACCCAAGCCTGATAGAAACATACCTGGATAAATCAACTCAACTCAATCCAAGTCAGAGGTGTATAAATATAGTAGAAGGAAAAAAAAATCCTAGCACGATTAAAGCTTGGAACGAACTACATCTTTCAATAGTTTCCCAAATAGGATGCAACTACAGCTCTACTCTAGCAGTAGAATTTCCCATGATTCTGTCCTACGCAAAAGATGATGATGCCATACTAAACTCAACTCCCCTGAAGTTCACCCTCCATCACCACCTCTTGCAGTCAAAATTCCATGAGGACTTCTGTGGGAGGATCATCTACCAAGTACATGTACGAAGTAAAAAGTTGCAGGAGAATTCTTTTATTGTGGAATGCCACATATAATAATAATAGTTTGTTCTTATATACCGGTAGCGCATTTCAGGGCAGCAGGCCCTCTCAAAGTACTTAACAGATATATATTATTACCCCAGAAATCGGATATAGGCTTACCCGCACACAATGTATGCACATTTGCCACTCCCTGGGGAGCATTCCGACCCAATAAATAGATCTCTTTGAAATGATTCATCATGTTACCTTGAGTATGACAAGTATCTGGAGGTTCTGTCTTCATGTCAGTTTCCTTGGCTTCTGGTTCCAGCTGTGCCTCCTTCTCCTTCTCAAGGGCTCGGCTGTAATGCATACAGGGTATGGCAGCCACTGGAACACGATGCCTCTGTAGATACAAAAACATCAAATCAATGTAGCCGCTTCTTGATGTAACATACATCTTCTTTACACACAAGTCAGTTGAATAGAGTGTCAGAGAAGAAAGAAGAACAATTCTCGCTACCCTAAATAGGTACGAAAATCTCGAAATTCGCGAGACGAGGTAATTTTCACTCTCTCGGGTCGTCACTACAACTTCCGGTATAGAGTCCCATCCCGCTGGCGCTAGCGCCTGTGTTCGCTGTGCAGAGTTTTCACGCACGCTAAAATCAGGGTTCTTACGCTTGGAATCATGAGCCCAGCACTGTGCAGCCTCACAAAAGAAAACCATCGTCACTGATGTCAAAAGACGCAAAAAACAACGAATGAAATGTTCAAATAAACGTTGAAATATTTGCGAAAAAAAAACAAGACCGAGCAGACGACATATTCGGTGCATACACGTTGTGTTTTACGTTTGCGCTATCGCGCCTAGTAATATAGCGCCTGCACAGGAAGCTGTAATGTCGAAAAGCTATCCCATAATGCAATGCGCATTTTCAGGATTTTCCCCGGATCTCGGCAGAATCGCTATTTGGGGTAGCGAGAATTGATCTGGGACCCATTTCACAAAGCCTTTTTTCAATGACAAATGAAAAAAATCAGTGACAAATCTGTTGATAACCAATCAGAAGCAAGGATTTCTGTAGCTTATAACAAAAACTGTCATTTGTCATTGATGACAAGATTTGTGAAACAGCCCCCTGGAGTTGGCTGAGATGGGGAATGGTATCAAAAAGTCCCCACACCCGATACTCCATGATTGTAAGACACATGATATGGTGAAGGTTGCTCTGCAGTAAATTTCTTAAATCAGTTATATTTCTGACTTTTAACCGGTGATCCAAAACTATACGTAATTCTAGCCTTACAACTAAAAGTAAAACTAAACTCAAACCCACACAAAGTGCAAATCTGGAGAGGAACAGAGTACAGTAATGGAAAATCTTTCAGTCTGCCCCATTTTTCTACATTCCTGCACTCTTGAAGATCTGAGTGAGTTCATCCTCAAGGCTAGATCCTGCGTCCCGAGTGTTAATTAGTGATCTAAGAAAAAGCACCTACCGGTAAAACCCTATCGCCATCTTAACCAACACCCTATGCCTTTGAAAAATTTATATCTGAAGCAAATATTGCTGGAGAAAATCATGTTTGCAGCCAGAATGGTGTTAAGTCACATACTATCAGGACAGAGCTAATGCCCTTCAGGCTCTGAACAGACAATATATCAATGTCAGACCACCTCAACGTATTGGATACATTTTGTTATATTGTTATTTATTCCCTATAACCTCCAACCTATGTTATCTCATACTTAGTGTTCAACAGGTGAAAGCTACATCGAGGGGTCAGTGACACAAAGACGTAACTCCATTTTTAGAAAAAGTGGTTTTTGTGTCACTGAGCACTTGGGCCTTAAGGAGTTAAGTCTGTGTTTCACTAGCTATTGACTTCAATGGGGTGTTGGGCAGTGAAAAAAATACACGGGGGCTCGGGCAAATTAGCCCCCGAAAGTCATAAAACAGCCAAAAAGAAATTGCATAGAGTTCAATGCAAAACAAATTCATGCAAGCAAGCTTGAAAAGTAGCCCCCGAAATTGTTAAAGTATTTTTTCCCTGGTGTTGGGTGGAGTAAAGTCTTTGTGTTTCCTGAAAAGCCAACATTTTTCTGAACTCTTTGATATCAAATATTCCTTTTGGCAATATATGGAGTTACGTCTTTGTGCCACTGAACCCTTGACATGTATGCTGTCCTAGGCTTACCCTAGCACTGCCAGACCCTAGGAGGTAGGGTCTGGACCAGGAACACACCCTTGATGACCGGTGAAGGTAGAGAGGCATCCCGCATTGATGACTGATACGTATCCAACCATCAGGTAGACCTTCTAAGGGCTCTTGACCATGTCCTCCAAAGAGAGAGAAAATAGGTATAAAAGTGGTACTGTGGCATAATCTTTACAAAATGCTGAATACAGATGAAACCTAAGATAACATACGTGCCATTTAAAGTGCACTAGATTCATCTTCCTGTGTTGTAGACTCGCAGTTAAATGCAATTATGTATATAGACTCCTGGTATGAGCCATGGAATACATTCCCAAATATAGGGAAATGATAACACCCAGCTAAATAAATCAAAAGCAATTCATTCACACCAAAGGATGATTTTTTTTTTTTTTTTGGGGGGGGGGGGGGGGAGGGGGGAGGGGGGAGGGGTCAATTTTTTTTATTTCTTTTGCTATTTTTTTTTTACAATAAGCAAACCTGAACATGTATTCCTTGAAAAATTGAGCTCTTCTTATGTAAGTGCTTAAAATATTGAGTAACACAACTTGTTCCTACAGCTCTGATGGAATTAAATTTCTATTACTCACTCTTGAGTACTGTTTTCTCCTTGACACCAATAAGGCCTTCTGGAAGTGCACCTTGAGTGAGGACCTTTCTCCATGCCTCTCCTGCCTTCTTCCGTCCCCCTTTCCCCTGCCGTGGGCCATCACCTTTACTCTGTTTGTACTGCTCAGGTAGGCCTTCATCCAGGAGAGCATCAAGGTCACCTTCACTGTCAGAATCCCACTCCTCCTCCATCATCTCCTCATCATCGTCCCCTTCCTCTTCCAAGTCATCCCCTTCCCCATCAAGGCTACCATCCGCAATGCTTCCTCCTGCATCACCGATGTCAGTAGTCCTAGGTTTGTTTCTATGTGGTAAACCACTGAGTTTGTTCGATTGGATGTAATCACCACTAGCATGTTGTCCTGTGGAATGGTTCAGTTCTATGTCACCTTCATCATCAATGTCATTGGCATCCTCATCATCGCCGTCTTCATCAATCACTATCATTTCATCATCACTTCCTACTTCATCTTTCCATCCTCCGTCATCCTCCTCCGGAAACACTTCAACATCCTCTTCCTCTTCTTTCCCTCTCTCCACTTCTCTGCACCCTTCTTCTGTATCCTCCATCATACACAAGTCATTGGCTTCACCAACCCTCCCAATCTCTTGATACGATGATCTTACGCTATCCAGTCTACGGAAATGGTGATCGTCGTCGTCACTCAAGTTTATATCCAATCCGAGCAAGGCTGCTGCGCTATCTGGCTTGGCTTCTTTCAAGCTTGACTCGATGTCTCTGATTACATCGGGAAAGGCTTCAGCAATATCCCAAGCATCATGATCATAGGCGATGTTTGATGGAGTGATGTCGACCGGCTGGCAGAGTCGCTTGGTAGGTGGGGATTCATCTAAAGCTTCCATTGGGGGATAGAGGAAAGGTTCTACTTCACCTCATCTGCAACCAAAGATGATTTGTTAGGATCATGCAATGGCAAACAAATTCTCTGCAAATGTTAAAAGGGAAAACAGACAAATCAGTAACAAGCTCACTCATGATTAGCAATGACAATCAACGTGCACAGGGAAATGTGTACACAATACCGAGATATTCAAAATGAAGAAGTCACAGACCTAGTTAACTTTCTTCTTCCTTGAAATGAATGAAAATCATGAAACACTCAGCCAAAATGAGCACTCGGATATTCATTTCAATGATTCACAGCAATTTATCCCTTCAAGGCTCATTAACTGATCCTAAGAATTAACTAAACTAACACTCATGTCATTTACAATTTAAGTAATTAGTACAGTTGGATGCAACATCAAAGCATGGTACCTGTCAATGGTAAGCCAAAGGATATATGCTCAAGTTGAAAAAGCCCCCGGTACTCTGTATACTAGACAAACTTACACTCTACTGCCTAAAAGGGCAATCCAACCTTGATAGTAAACTAATCTAAAAGAAAGCAGTCAAGTAGGCAGATGAAAGTTTGAATGAACTCTGACAACAACAAGAAAAGTAATCAATTTTCTAAAGTTGTAATTGCTAAACATATGGGCATTTCAAATTGGCTGAATCTGTAATGACACTATACCAAAGTGCCTGACAACCTTCCCATCCTTTCCAACACACAAAATGACTAAAATCTAAAATGTCAAATTTTGCAAAATCTAGGACTCGAGAGTGTTTTTCCTTTTTGAGAACCTTTTATAATATGCTACCCACAATCAATTTTGATAAGTGCCCCAATGGGAGAAGACGCTTAGGAGGAAACATAAATTTATGGTATATCTTGTACACGACAAACAGAAGAGTTATCAGTGAAACAGGTAATACGTCACAATCCAGTGACCAAATTGTGGATTCGAGATTTACATAGCTTTAGTGATCTCATATTTCAAACACTTAAATATAACTTTCTCATTGTTGGTCCAACTTATTTCAAACTTTACCTTTTCTGTTTCTCTTATGTTTCAGTTTTCATACAAAAGAAATTATTACCGGGTACAAAATGTGGAGGATTATATTAGGCGGATATGTTACCAGCAAAAACAGCATGGCAATGTACAACCCCATGCTCGTCTTGTGATAACATGCTCTGCCTCATGGCATCCACCTAACCATGTCATCAATTAAGTGATCTTAGACACACATGCACAGAGAAAAGAAAGGATAATGTATACAAATAATACTACTTGTTAGCTTTTATTTGACATATATGAACAACATGATCTGTGATAGCTTTGATGCTTGCAAGAATGTCCTTTGTTACAGAGATTTAACTTGGAAGGCATTTGCACATGTTCATCGTATCTCATTGTTTAATTTGTATATCAAAAAATAAAATAAACATGCAGTCATATATATGTACCCTACCCCCTCACCTCCTCCTAACAACTGTAGAAGCAATCATCCAAAATAATTCAGAATGAAATAAAAAATCATAATAATCATTGGCATGCTATGTCCTCTCCAATTCATGAATTTGATGTGTGACGGACGAAGACGAAGCAAACGCGTTGTTAACATTGGGATGCTTACTCAGCTATACTGTAGTTAACCCTAGTAAAGACAAGGCACACTGAAACACACCCAGGAGGTAAGATCAGACCTTGTCTAGACCAGTGAGAAATCAGTACAGTCAAGTTACATTCATCATCATCATCACATAGAGGAGCCAGGTCAGTTTAGGGTGGGAATAATGAAGGAAATACTCCTTGTCCAGCCCATCATGAGATGCTGACATGAAAAAGCTGATACTTCTGCCAATGAGGAATTGTGCCAGGTAAGTATTACGGTAGGTCTAGTCTAAATGTACAATGTATCTTAAAATAAGTGTTTCATATGGTTGTACATTGAATGACACATTCTCTAGTCTATATCTTACACTGATCAAAATTTGAACACCAACATTAATTAGACCAAACACTCTATCTAAACCTAACCTTAAACCAAATTGCACCCTAACCATAACAACAATGATTAACCTCAGTTACCTCACAGCATTCTGAAATAAAGGCCCAACCGCTTAAGGTCGGGGCAACTGTAGCCAGAGAGTATGTCAGAGCACCGTTTTACTGTCATACATGTATATAAGGCACCTCTGAGTTTTACCTCCACAGAAACTCCATAGAACAGGGCATAGATCACCAGAACTGAAATAAACCCAACTGTCAAATCAAAGGGCTTATTTTACAGGTTTAATAAAGAAAAGAATCAAGAAATACAAGTGATTCAAATGTGTAGACTGGAAAGTTACAAATAATTTTTTTAAAATCTTAATTATTGTTTCATGTAGGAGATTTAAATGACAGCAGTTTCATATTTTGATTTTTGCTAAACATATTTTCCTACATACACTTCAGATGGTCTACTTCTTTTTTTCTTTTCTTTTTTGCCAAGATTGAAATATCTAGTCAACCTGGCCTTGCACTTTGATAAAGCATCAACGTGGAAGTCAAAATTTCACTTATCTTTGCAAAAGTGCTGCATTAATAAAATAGTATAGCTTCCTGGGTGAGCTGCCAAAGGGATTACCCAACCAAGTGCCTAAATTTAAAGAAAATTCAAATTAGATCTAGAATCTAAGTCTAAAAGTGAAAAGGGTGTTAATTTGTTCACACAAGTCAAAGTCAGAAATAAAACTACACAGACCTGAACTAATAAAATGTCATGCATCACAACACACATCGATGAGCAAGGTCTGGCACATGCTCATCAACAAGAACAAAGACATGGGTCAAACTAGCGACGAATTAAACTATAAAAAAAAGAAGTAAAAAAGGTTTTTCGCGTTTTCATGAAATAGGAAACCATTTGTTTAGCACAGTAGCACTTCATTTCGTCATCCTACTCTAGATTTTAATAATCATTTAAAGTCCACTCCAAATTTTATTAAGTTAAACCGAAAATGGAAATTCTTTTTGCCCAATTGATTGTGAGCCCGGCAGCCACTGAGCAGTGCCAGATCGACGTTGCTCTATCCCTTATTGTTGAACGCCAAACAAGGTAGCAGCAACTCCCGTCTTTTACGTCTTTTGGTATGACGCGGCCGGGGTTCGATCCCACAACCTTTATATGAGAAAGGTGTGTGCGTGCAGACGAGCGAGTGGTTTTCAATAACAATATCTTGATAGTCAAGATTTCTCATGTAAATCAAGCTGTAGTGTAGGCCTACTGTATATGGAGTGTCGTGTTAGAATTGAGATCAAATTCAGACCGAGGTAAGCTAAGCGAGGTCTACAACTTCAGTCTCACAGTCTCTCAGACTAGATAGATCCGCCAGGTGATCAGGGTCTGTGAATTAATTAAACACCATGCTGATGGCGAGCCTTCATAACTTAGTCTATATGCATCTTCTGTAAATGAAATGAGTAAATCTGAATTAGTTAATATCAATAACATCATTCACTCACTCATGTCTCACTCTCTCACTCACTTCTCAGTCTCTCATGACAATGTCATGGAATCACTTTTTTGTGTGTGTGAGAACACGCTCACACAAATATATGGACAATTATCTAATCTGGGTGATATAAATATTCATATAATATAAGTTTAAAGATTTGAAATTGACAAAATAACCGTAATTTTACCAAATATTTCAGCTGATCCCCCGCCAAGCCCTCTCGAAATAAATCCTGGGTACGTACGTCCGTCCCAGATATGAGAAATCGAGCATAACTTGTCATTGCCGATAGATGGCAGTATTTAAAATGGCGTTTTCCATTCGCAAAAATGTGATCTCGTCGATTTATCAATATCATAAATTACTTGGTTTACGTGGCCTGAAGAACACACATGAATACTGGACCTGTCTTCCAATTCAAAATCATCAACTTGTAAGTATTAAATTTGTTTGATATGACAAAGGTTACCCCTTTTAACAGAAAAATAGAGCCGCCAGGTCTGTAGTGAGGCAGGTCCCATGCGTTCACATTTGTGTTAGTAGTCCAGTGATCGGACAGGATCAGGAATTAATTGGAAATCGAATAATTGAATTGGAATATCTGTAATCATCCACTCACATGGCCAAGGTAGCCTTACGGGCTCGGTGATTTATGAAATAAGATATTGATATCACCAAACCTTACTTGGTATGCAATTGCCTGTGCTGTGTGGAGCTGGAGAGCCATGTAAAAAACAAAAAACAAATAAAAAATGTGAAAATAGGGTCGTTAATTTTTCATTGGATTTGAAATTGAACAGCTGGTCCGAGAATAAGGATCGTCTTTGTAAACGCGGACAGATGCGTCCGCAAAAATAAGGATTCTCTGCAGTTTCGCAGACGTGTCAAATTTCTGATCTGTGCAAAGGCAATTAGAAAAACAGATTCCACAATGAGTTTCTTGATGCATTTCACTTTGACTTTGTACAGAGACTTTCACATTATGAGCGATAAATCCTTGGAAAGACGGACAACCTATAATAGTAGTTAGTGAACTGGGGTTATTTCATTATGCAGAATCCGTTTTTCGCCTAGCCAGCGCGCAGTTCAGGAACCCGAAACCCGCTGAGCGCTGATGAAAAAAAACATTTGCAGACGATCCTTATTTTTTAAGATGCAATTAGTCCGCGTTTATGAGGAAAAAATGCGTACGATCTTCAGCACTCCTACTGTTTAAGGAGGAGTCTTTCTAAATTTTAAAAGGTCACACTCGCACACCTCAACTTGCTCAATTTTAATGAAAGTCACCAAATTTCACACAAAATCTACATTTTAATTTAAAGAGAGATGGAGAGATTTATAAATGACCTTTTTGAAAACTTCCAAATTCAGAAGCTAAAGCGGATTGATGTTGAACTTTTCGTTTTATGCCTGGAATGAAATGAAAATTTAGCAGTTCCATTGATTTATCTACTCAAACTTATGACCACAGGAACTTGTTTATTTTACTGTTCATCATAGTCCAAGCCATGTATTGTTTTGTTTGATGTAGATCAGTACCAGTAGTATCCAGCGTGATGCAAGTTTTAAGACCAATGAGGAGATGTCGTGGGTGAGGAGGATACTTCAAGGAAGTGGACCAAGTGCGGATGTGGATGAAACCTCGCTGGAAGATGAAGTGGTAGCAGTAGAACCAAGATATATGGAGATACTACAAGAGAAACAAACTAACTTCATCTCCAAGTGAGTGCCCTTGGTGTACATTCTCTATGAAGTAGGAATTCATGAGCTTTTAGATGGTGTACAGTACATCTATTTATCTAGATGAGTCTTAAAATGACTAGTAAAGCATCTAGACCTTACTTTCTCTCTCATTCTCTCTCTCTCTCTCTCTCTCTTTGCCTCCCGCTCTCACTAACTTTATTTCATTTGAGGTTTTGTACTCTCACCCTCTTTAAAGCCCATTTTCAATTTAAGGAAAATGTCTTTATCACCAAAGTAGTTTCATCATTGCAAAAAAATCTTGCTTCCAGTACAAACAGATTTTTTTTAAAGTCAGATAAAAATTGAACTATGAATAAGAAACTTACGACTCTTTTAAGGGCCATTCATTGTGCTTTAACTAATTTTCCTTTTATTTCAAGTTTTTTGTAGCTAATCTTAATGCTTTTGTGTCTTTGAAAATGCTCTTCTCTGCTTTATTCTCTATCCTTCCAGACCGGAAACTAGGAGGAGAAACTACTCTCCTCCTCATGATGTTGAAGATAGCCTTGAAGAACTGACCCTTCAGCTAACTACTGAGACAGATCCAGTCAACTGGAAAGAGGTCTCATTCGATGATAATCTTTTCAAATTTCAGGTGGGAAGATTGTCAATATCTTTCATTTTTCACCAAACCAAGCAATTTTAATTTTGTGGCATAGAAGTATGTAGATATTAATTCAAAATGATTTCGTAATTGTCTGTTATGATTATTCATTCAACAATGATACAGAAAACATCAGCTACAAGGCTACAAGGCTGTCAACTAGCAAGTTTGGATGAGTATGTTTTAATTATCATATTTTAGTCTACCTAGTTCATTTAGTAAGGCTTCTTGATAAGTCTACATTTCGTTTATGAGCTTGTTACTTATTGTTAGCTCTTCAATATTTAAAAAAAAATACTACCCATGGGCCCATAAGCATGTCTTATGTTGTAGTCTTACACATTGCTTTAATATCATGTTTGTTTTGTATGTTTCATAAACGCTACAGCTCCTGTCCAAATGCTCCCAGACTTTCCAACACTCTGTCCCTAGCTACCAACTGAGGAAGATGAAGACTGTTGAGGATGTGCTAACCTTCTACCAGACACCGGTGAAGGATACTTCTGTGTACGATGAACTGAGTACCAAGGAGCTCCCGCCAAATCTACGTATACAGTGGGACTACAATGACTCCAAGCTGGAGGTTTATGAAGAATACTTAGAACATATAAAGTTGAAGAAATCAAGAAAGCCTTCTGATTGGCCGTTCAGGCCGTCCCATTGAAGGCTTTATGATAAGAACATTTTGGACTTGATGTGTGGCCAAGCAGAAGTGTGTGGACTTGCACCTACAGTTAGCTGACAACAGACTCCTGCCTTTAGAGTTGTAGTTTGATGTTCAGAACTTCTGTGACTTTATTCATGCCAGAGCTATAGCATGGGGGATACAGATGCTTGACGTGAGCCTCTACATTCAAGCATGCACAGTGCATTGATGAAGTTTATATAGAGCATTGCTGCTGGATGAGATGTGATGATAAACTACATGTATCATGAGCAAATGAAATGTAACTTCTCCTTTGGTTATTTAAATCATTAGGAAAAGAAATGATGAAGATGGATATCAGTATCATTAAAAATAAAATACAAAATACAAAATGAACTTACATGCAAACAGGACCAGGATTGGAAGTATACATCCAAATGTTTTGTGAGCCAAATCTTTTTTAATCATAGGGCACATCATGCAATGATTTTTTTTTTTTTTAATGCTCAAGGACAAAGACTCATTCTAAAATAATTTCAAATTGACATGAATTTAATTCTCTATGAGCACTGGAAAGTCTGAACAACGTGTGAAATACCTTAAGAGCTCTCATATATCTATGACGCGAAAGAAAGTTTCATAACCTATTGTATTGAAACGATGTGAAAGGCCTTGGCTATTCATACATCAAATATTAAAATTTTGTGCACATACAACATTAAGTTGTTTTAGCTTTGTATAAGCAGTGGTTAATAGCTGGTTATAAGGATTGGTTAAAGGCTTAGGGCTTTGTGTGATGTAGATTTTAAAAAGGAACACAGAGAGAGAGAGAGAGAGAGAGAGAGAGAGAGGGGGAGGAGGTAGAAGGTGGAAGAAAGAGAGGAGAGAGAGAGAAAGGGAGAGGGGGAAGGAGAGAGAGAGAGAGAGAGAGAGAGAGGGGGGGGGAGGAGGTAGAAGAGGAAGATAAAAAGAGACGGATAGGAAAAGTATGTTGACCTACCTTTTGTTGGAGTGATGATCAAACTTTTTTTTCTGGTAACATTTGTTCAGGATTTTATTTAGTAGAAAAAATATAGTGTTACAATTCGGATTTCAGTTGGAGTGAGCTTTTGGGTCGGTTAATGTAGGGAACGGACTCCTGAGCAGTCGCTGTCGAAGCATCTGTCGTAGCATGATATGATGTGAACAATATTAATGAATGTTAGGCTATGGCCTGAAACCTGGCAACCCTGCATGCTATGTGAGCTTTGTATACAAGAGTTCCATGCCTTTCAACTATGTACTAACTTTGAATAGTTCTGCAGTAGGTGAAAGGAAAACTAAAAGGCCCAGGTCTAACTTAGGTTTCTTAGTACACAAATATAAAATGAACCATCCTGGTTTGGTGGCTTATCTGGGACAAATTGGTTCATATTAGAAATGGAAATTAAATAACATTATTTCGCACAACATACATTTTCAATGCATGGAGAAGAAAATACCTCTCTTACAGAAAAATTGATGTTCGTTGCATTTCATATGCAAACCAAATGGATATTGAAGTGGTCACTGAATGGCTAGATTACCCAGATGCCAATTTCAGATTCATTTAAACTACTTAATGACCTTTGACATTTGCAAAGGAAAATCACTATTTTTTGTTGTGCTTTCATTCAGTCTTTCCTTCATCGGTCTTTACTTCATTTAATGATTTTTAGAAAATGGTTGACATACTATCTAATCTAATATACCAAGAGAAATATGTTCAGCAAAGTATCAGACATAGGACATTCTTGTGTGTAATAAAAGATTTCAACTTTATTTTCACATGAATTGAAACATAATAATATTTATTATAGTTCTGAAGAACATGATTTCTTCTTAGTCTACCAGCCCATACTATTGGCCAGAGCACGAGTTATTTACTTCCCACATGCTCATATCTGAATTTCTAAATATCAGAGAAGAAATAATTTTAACTGATTATCTTATTTTGTCTGTTACTGAAAGCAAACCACCATTTATAATGCTCTTGATAGCACGAGATCCTGATAAGCTTAAGGCCCATGTGCTATAAACGGCGGTACGTTAAAGCTCCCATAACCAGTTTATTATATTCGTTTGATGTTAGATCAGAAAGTTAGATACTTCTTGTACTTTACAGTTGCACTTCTTTCAAAGTAATTTAAATTGGGCCATATCATATATCAACCCCTTGTTTCAATAACTAATGATATCTTATCAAAGAAGATACAGTAAATGGCTATTAAGAAACTGGAGTGATTCCAGATCAATGCAGGGCTCTTGATTTTACATTTATTAATATCCCCCATATTGGGTGGTTTCTTAGCAGTCAGGTAAAATAATCATCAAACATCAATGGCACCCAGGCAAGTGTAATTTTAAACCCTGCTAATGGAAGACTGGTAGTGATAAGAAACAAAGTAATCCACATTAAGGAAGCAAGAAGTATATGGCCTTGACAAACACTAATCAATTATTCACTACTTGGATATTTATGACATTACATTACTCATGTTGAAGGTACTATAAGATATGTTTTATCTTTTTAACATGTCTATTTTAACCAGGTTCAGACAAAAACAGAAGTATCCCTAGTATGCCCCCTTGCATAGAAAATTAAAATTGTATGCAACTCAAGAAATTAATCACAGGTCCCAAATATGTTATCCTGATTGGTTGAAAATCAAGTTACATTTAATCACACCTTTTTTTATTATGGTGTGACATTTCAAGGATATCCCATCACGCAATCCTCAAATCATTTAAGAAGACCTGGACAGTATGTTTGAAGTTTTAGACAGAATATTCTACCTAATAAATAGTTCAATGAGTTATAAGCCTGATAGTGTGATGACCGACGTGATGACGTCCAGATCACAGGAATGTTCCATCTGTCTATAGCTTTCACAGAAGATAGCTTGACAAGTTCATTGCTGATTCCTGCTTGTGTGATATATCCAGATCCACAACTCGATGTTACATTCATCAAGGAATCAAACTAAGACAGGCTGTCCAACAAGGCAGAGAGATAATCCTGCCTCATAAAGAGTTTGATGAATTCATTGCTGAGATCTCGGTCAATACTGAGCAACATTCCCATTTCACAGGAACATTCACAGGTTAAGGCAGGACATAAGAATGACTTCCTCATAAATAGAGTTTGATGAGTTCCTAGCAGATGCCTGCTGATGCCTGCTGATGGTGATAACCACAAAAAAGGAAGAGTACCCATCCTCATAAATAGAGTTTGATGAGTTCATCACTGATCCCAGACGGTGTAAGAACTCCTAGGTCAGTGAAGAGCAGGGTGATGAATGCTGGAGGAGTGTAGTCAATGAGTGGATGCTCATGGTTTAGATCTGCATTGTTCTTCATCTTAGAGGCTGGGTACTGCAGGATATGCAAGAAAGTGAGGGAGAGAGAGAGAGAGAGAGAATGAGGATATAGTGGAAAGAGTGTACAGATAAGGGGAAGAGAAAAGCAGGAGGAAATATAACTAAAACGATGATTGGTTTGTATCTTAATTGCTGATAATGAAATATTTAGGTATATGGGAATGAGTTATACATTTACTTGGGGTATGGGGGCATTTCCAGAAGACATTGTTAGTAAGATATTCTATTACTATGTTTCCACTTTATAGAAATAAAAAGAATGACAAGCTGACACACTATACCCAGGTGTTAAATAGGGACCTGTAGGAAGGAATTCTTTGAATGCTGTGAGCACCGAAATCAGTAGCCTAGCAGAGCCGGGGTAATATTGGAGCGCTTTGAGCACCTTGCAGGGTGGATATTAGTCCACTGCCTGGACTGTTCTCTACATGATCCGTGCTCGCTCACATACTAGTACACCATAATAATTATACACGTACGGACACACAACCTGAGAACAGTCCAGTACACCTTGGCAGTTTCCCCCTAAATTCAGGGGGAACTTTTATTCCTCCCACTTCACCTTGGTCAGACCTTGCTTAGTTGTGATTGGTTCCCACTCATGCCCATCAAAAGATTCGGTCATTGCGCAATCTTTAACGATCGTCAACCTATAGGCTCTTTTCAAAGCCATAATTATTAAATATTATGAAATATTTGTACGATCTTACACAAATTACCAGCAAAAATATCTTCAATATTTGTTTAAACAATAATAAATAGTATTTAATTTGATATTGTTGATTTTTTTTTCTTTTTTCAAACAGTTTGTAAAGTTTAGATATGATGTAATCGGCAAAGACTTAGTAAACATGCGTTGCTGAAAGACTATTCAAGACGTGCGTGAATAAAATGCTGGTTTTGGCTGCTTTGTTTTGATCTATTTTTCCTCAATTATCTGCTATACATACACAACGTTTTCGTAACTGGTAGTGAATGAAAAGAAAAGTGAGTATGCCATTCTTAATTTTCATTGTAACATGCAAACATTGTTGAAAAATGAGTGTACAAGGGATCTTTTCCCCGCTCTTCACTTTGATCCAGCGAGACTTCTCTCTGCATCTGCCGCATACCTACGTCTGCCAGGCGGCTAAGGCAGCGCCGCTAGCTACCGCTGAAATTACAAGTGCTGACCGTACGCGTACCTCCCTGTAGGCTATATGCTGTAACCTGACTAGCTGACGCGAACATTTTTCTCAAGTATTCCAATGTAATAAAATATTTAATGTAGAAATTGAAAAAATAGACCTAGACTCTACACTACATCTACAATAAATTAAATGGTCCTCGTGTCGACAATCAGTACTAGATCTAGATCTGGCTCTGCTTTAAATTAATAATGCCTTATTTTTGGGTAGGCGGACGCGGACTGAGGCATAGTACATGCGTACATGCGTACATGTAGGGTCTACCTTTTTCTACACTGTACATGAGTCAGCACTAATGCGTTTGACGTAGTATCCAGCTCGCATTAGCGAACAAATTTTTATTAACATTGTAGATCTATCACCTTTCACCTGAATTTCAATCAAATCGAATGGGACATCGAGAACCTGCCACTTACGCATCTTTCAGGATTTCAGCAAGGACTTCTACTCATCTTCATTTTGTAATGATGACCATGAAACTGAAATTTAATTTTTCTTCTTATGTTTCATGACTCAAAGTTCAATTTTCCATTTATAGATGTTAAGTCTAAAGAACTAAAAATATACTACATGTAGATGTACATGTGTTTTGCACAATGCAACTTTGATGCGTGTCAGTTTTAATTTATCTTAAGATTCTCCAATTTCTTGCATTAGTTATTTTCCAATAGATTTACAATTTGTGCAAAGAAAATCGTTGTGCAACAGACTTGTTGTCACAGATTATCAATATCATAATGTGTTACACATGTCATTCAACAGAACCTTTGCATTATGTTTGTACTGTATGTCCACTAAGTGTTTATAATACTCGATGTAAATTTTGGTGTATGGTATTGAAATTAGAAGCTTATGGATGGTATTGATGATTTCTGTCAACTTATTAATTTACAATTTATTCATGCATTTCAGATTGGATGTCTGAATTTCAGGCCTGAAGAGTTATTGCTGCCAGCTCTTTCTTACTACTGTGATCCATTATGGCTTTCTCAGATACTCTACATCGATTCTCAGATGACGATATTATAAGAGCCCTTGGGTATGCTTCTGACAAACTTGGATTTCCAGATGGTTTCAGGACTGAACAGTCAACTGCGCTGAAATCTTACTTACGTGGACATGATTTGTTTGTGAGCCTCCCAACAGGGTTTGGTAAGAGTGTGATATTTCAGGCTGCACCGCTCTGTGTCGACTTTCTACGCAGACTTCACCTGCCACAACAAGATGCCAGTAAGAAGGCCATTGCTCTCATTGTCATGCCTTTGAGATCATTAATATCAGATCAAATGAGCAGGGCTGGAGAATTGAATATTGATGCTGCAGACCTAACCGGAGGTATCAATGACTCTATTCGTGAGGGCCTTTCTTCTTCCAAGTACTCGCTCCTTTTTGCAAGTCCCGAGGGATTGTTGGGAGATGATGGTCATGAGCTGTTCAGGATACCAGCCTTTAGAGAGCAGCTTTGCGGACTATTTATCGATGAAAGTCACTGTGTCTCCAAATGGTAATTTTTCTACACATTTTCTTTCATGAGTACATACATGTAGATAAACAGTCTGTTTTTTTAATTCTTTGTGTTCATTGGACAATCAAATTTTCCCTAAATATATTATATCTCAACAAAATTAAAAATATTATTTTATTAACAAATTTATATTTGGGCCACATTGAGGTTTGTTGTGGATAAATTGTTTTTTTAAAGATGACTTTTTTTAAAGGTTCTCTGGCCCTCGCATGATTTTTATCTGGCATTGCTGTATCGCATGATTAATGTTTTTAAATCTTGTTCATTGTATTAGGGGATGCTCATCAAAGGACACAAAGGCATTTCGAGCTGCATATGGCAAACTAGGAGAAGTGAGGGCCAGATTCCATTCTGCTATTCCTACTGTTGCCTTGACTGCCACAGCCACCAAAGAGATACGACGGGATGTTTCCGATAATTTAGGACTGAGAAACTTTGTCTTGATAGACCGATCTCCAGAGAGGCAGAACATCAAGCACATTGTGATGAAATCTAAAACAAAGAATCTCGATCATCTTTTCAAGTGGATGGCCGATGACATCATAAAATATGGAGTGGCTACAGAGCGGACAATAATCTATTGCAGTTCGCGCAAGATTGTCAGTGAATTGTACTCCACGTTCCTACACTACCTTCCCAAAACTTGTCAGAAACATGTGAATATGTTCCATACAAACACCGAGAGAGACGTACAGGAGACAATTGTCAACAGCTTTGCAGATGCAGAAGGGGACATAAGATTGTTAATAGCAACAATTGCTTACGGCATGGGAGTTGACTGCAAGGGACTGTCTCAAACTATTATTTTTGGCCGCACTGTAAACATGGAAGACTACATGCAAATGAGTGGAAGGATTGGGAGAGACAACAGGCCCAGCATTGCAATTTCTTTGTTGTATCCTGGCGATAGTGTAGGAAGGAGCACTTCACAGAGTATGAGTGACTTCTTGAAAGGAATTCGTTGTCGCAGGGAGATCATAAGGGAGGTGTTTGGAACTCCACATGGACCAGATACTCCCATAGACGCCCATGACTGCTGCGATGTTTGCACCAATGCCTGCAAATGCAACGGTGATACTTGTAGTGCTAAGGCAACAAACCTTGAAAGGGGCTTGCAACATGTATTAGGATGTCAAGGGCCAACAGAAGAGCTGCCACTCAATATCCCTTCGCCTGCTGAAGTAGATCACCTTGAAAGGGCGTTGGAAGACTACAAAACTAGTCTTGTAACTGAAGGACACATTTATTGTGGAGAGGACTTGGTCACTGGATTTTCAGATGGAATGGTTAAGAAAATTGTACAAGATTGCAATGTTGAGTTTTCATATAGTGGATTTGTTGCACGATATGACTTTCCAAGTCGTCAGATGGCATCTGATGTGTGGTCAATTTTGTGTACAGCTCTAGGAAGAGATGCAACATCGCTACATGTAAGTGGCCAATTTTATAGTGTTGACACTGACTCAGAAGAATTTGACATGTGGTCTGACTCTGAATTTCAGGAAGCAGTGATTGGATCCGATAGTGAAGATGACTATTTTTTTTCATGAATTTCATTGGTTGTCCATCTTTGGGGGCAATTCCAGGGTTACTCACATTATATTTGTTATATATTTTGAGTTATATCTTAAACCTTTTGTTCTCTTATTACATGTGTTAGGTAAAAGATATTTAGTTACAACAATGCACCCATGTAATAACAGTATCAAAAACCTAAAAAAACAAGACATACCGGTACTTTCTTTGAAATATTAAATTACTGATGTTAATTTAATAATGTAAGATTAGTGAACAAACATGAGCAGGGTTGGCAGAAAATAAGTACCTCGTTTATTGTACTACTCTCCTATAATTAGCATGCCATTTTCATTCCCCAAAACATATTCTGGAATTTTGCATTTTGACTTTTGGAACTGTGTGAATTTGGAGAAATATGGCAAATACCGGTATGTGGTGTGGCACTGGTTTTTATTTCTTCTTACCCCTAAGTTTTGATGCATGAATTTAGCAAAAGCAATACTTAAATAGATGTGGTATGATATCTTATGCAGTGAAAACTTGTTATAAAGAGCTCTGAATATAAGGAGACTCCTGATATTAAAAAAGGGTAATTTTTGTGGCCCAAAGGTCCTCGTTATAGTAAGTTTCAACAGTGCATACTCATACATGTATTCATTTTTAACCCCCCCCCCCCCCCCAAAAAAAAAAAGAGAGAAGGAGAGAGAACCATGTAGCTGCCAGTTTGGGCATGAATGTTTTTAGTATAACATTTTATGAAAACTGTGATTTGATTTGCATCATAAAAATGTACAATCTGCATGGACCACTTGCAAGTTTCTCAAAACTCTACAGATGTACATGTAGGTCACATCAAGGTTGAGTTCCTCTTCTAGTGTTGGTTGAATAGAGGGATTAATAAATATGTCTTGGTACATATGCTTCTATCATTTATCAGTAATCTTCTGAACCTTCTGAAATTTGAGTCAGCAGGGCGGTATTCCGCATGTCGCTAACTTGTATGGCAGGTGATGCATGCTAGAGTGTGTTTCTGAAATTATCAACTGATGTAGCTATTACAGACTGCTGGTCGAGGGTATTCCATGCTCGTCCAGTTCTTGGAAAAAAGGAGTATTTGTATACGTCCTTTCTGGCAAAGGGGATTTCTATTGAGTGATGGTGGTTTCTTCTTAACCTTGACCCTGTTGATACTTGTATGTAGTCCTCTTGCTTTAGGCCCACCTTTCCCTTGTAGATTTGATATGTATAAATATAATACGTCAATGCTCGAATTATGTTTACAATGATGCAATACCTGTTATGAACTTATATATCATGCAATTCTACTATGAACAAAATAATCTAAAAATGTGTATATTTATTATTTAAGAAACCATTTACATGTAGTTTGTAAATACTCTATGTACATGTATATCATTCTACGTTCAGTGTAAATAATATAAGTCACTGACTCCCAGGTGCTTAAATAGTCACCCCTTCCCCTGAACATGTTGAAGAACACATCCTATTTAAGAGGGTCATTGCATTTTGTATACAAATAATCTTACAAGGAGGAATAACAGTGCATGTACGAAGAAGATGTACTTTCATTTATTTATTTTTCTTCAAAATATGTATAACTACATGTATAATACGACAATGCTCGAATGATGTTTACAACGATGCAATACCTGTTATGAACTTATATATCATGTAATTTTACTATGAACAAATCTAAAAATGTTTATATTTAAGAAACCATTAAGTATTTAAATACTCCATGTATATCATTCTATGTTCGGTGTAAATAATATTTATCCGAGTATATAGGAAAAACAATTGAGCCACAAAATGATGGTGTAATTAATAATCATGACCCACATTCGTACAACAAACTAGTATTAGTATCAAAATCATGGTTATAAAATCAAGCATAATGCACTTATTCATGGCTACATTTCTACCATTTATACTGGTATTTAAGATCGCCAAAGATAGAATAGAATCGGATTGCCTATTACCGTTGAGGAATCTCAGCTTCGTAATTTTTTTTTTTTCATTATTTTGTTAACCATTTTTGATATTTATGCTTTATATGTTTCCTATGTTGTACTTGTCTTGTATACCCTGCCAGTGACACAGTTGTGTATTGTATACTACATTGTGTCATGGACCTGGGTTGAAACGTTTATACTTCTTTGTTTATTATGCTGAATAAAGATGAAACATATTTGAGGAAAGGAGATTGAGATTTTCATTCTTGCACTGCAATGCATTCTTGCAATTTGCTACAGTTCCTTGACTCTTTAAAGGGAAATCCAACCCTAAATCTAAACCACCAGTGTGAATTCCGGGCAATGAAAACCACTACAAAACAGTATGAATTGCTAACAATTTCGTTTTTCCATCATTCAATCACACAAACACTCTGAACACTACACATGATGTAAACACAAAGTAGTGCATGTAATCATTTTACCAAGATTTTTTTCATTCCAATTTACAGACTTCAACTTCATAGTGTACCTAAGGGGGCTATTAAACTACACTAGTAACAGATGATATGTTTCAAACTAGGAAGCATTTCATCAATTGTCTTGTCAGTGATTTTTACAGACAAACTGTTATTTTTTACTGAAATCCTTGCATCTGATTAGCCGAGAGCGAATTTGTCAGTCAAAATCACTGACAAAGGCACCTGAAGAAACACCCCCATTTTGAAGTCTATTATGTCCCCACTCACTTGAAGATGAACATAAATATGTAAACATGGAATTCAGGACTCTGATTGTTGTCGCAAATGGGTTAAACACTGAATAACTTGAATTCCTTACCCTTTGCAGAATAGTATCTCACACTGTAGTGCATGATTTAAGATAAATGTAATTTGCCATCAAGGACTATGTGCAAGAACAGTGCTCAGCAATAGTGTACTTGCATAAAAAGTACAACAATGTATGTGGAATACTGATTATCTCTTGAAGACAAAAAATTGGCAACGAGCATAATAGTTAGAGCATGTTATCATCTGCAAAACATGTTAATAACATCAAAGTAAACTGTTATAACCTGTAAATGAGGTAAGCTTTAATATGTAGCTTAAATTAACAATCATTGGGTGTACATGTAAAGTTACTTCAAATTCAAAGGAGAATCTAATACCTATCTACTTCCTTCTTTGTATGGCTTTCATACAAAGTGACGACACAAGAAATGAGATTTAGAGAAAAGTCATTCCAATGATTATAACATGTCTATCATGATATCACATTTTGAAAGCAAAGTATTTGGAGAACTTAACAATTACATAAATATATTAATTGAGAAACAGTTTATTTCAAATGTAAAAAATGATCAAACCAAACACCTACTTACGGCTTTCCTACAAAAAAAACCCCATACAAATCCTGCTTTGAAATGTCTATAATCATTCTCTTGAAATAATGCATTTATACAAACAAGGATAAGATTATATTTAAATACATTTTCAAAAAAAAAATTGGTCAAAAAGCTTACGGTACTGAAATTGACCTTGAAAACTATAACCTGCATCGTTTCTATCGCCATGACATCTAGCAAAACTTACATGTATGTTCTCATTTTTGGTACATGTACTTGTACTGCCTTCTCACTTTTTAGGTTCATTGCCGATCTGATACCTTCTAAGAATAAACAAAATATATCATCTAATCTTCTATTGAATACATGCAGCTCATCACACTTCAAATGAAAGAACATGAGATACATAGAAATGGGAATTTAAAAAAAAAAAATATATATATATATATATATTTGGTACATGTAATTGAACTGTCTTCTCATAAATTCAAGAAAACTGATGTATAGAACTTTTTTCTTTCTTTTCTTTTCTAACAAGAAATTTGCCAAATCTCATTACTTCTAGAATGCGCAAAATATATCATCTAATCTTAAGAATACACACATCACCATACATGTACTTCAAATGAAAGAACACGATACATAGTAATATCATTAAAAAAGTCTTTGGTACATCCATTTGAACTGCCTTCTCCCAAAATCAAGAAAAATGTTGATGTATAGACTTTGTCAAACTGTTAACTGTGAAATTTGATGAATAAACAAAATATGTATCATCTACACTGTAATATGCATTTGAATGCACACAATACCACACACATACTTCATATGAAAGAACATAGTAATATGTGTGTTTTTTAATAAATCTTTGGTACATGCCTTTGAACTTCCTTCTCACAAACCCAAGCAAAGTACTGCTGTATAGTATTTAACAAAAAAATATATATCTTATCTTCCCATGAATATACATGCAGCACCATACTTCAAATGAAATAACATGAAGTTCATAGCAATGAGATAAATATGGGTGCAGCACTAAAGTTCATGTACACCTGTATCCCGTTCATGTATCTCTCTTCTTCACTGCTAAGATGTAGGTGGGACATTTAAACTACAGAATTGGATTCCAAGTTCTTTAAATCTCCAAATAATCTAAATTCAAGGAATGCCTGGCTTCTGTAGGCAATGCTTTAAATTATGACACAATAGAACCAAAAAATGGTACATGTACAAACAGCATTTTTATACTAATGTTGAAGCAAGAACTTCAGGGTATAAATCTTGATGAAACAATGTTCACAATTATTCTTTATATTGATAATTGATAATGCACTACATTGACCGATGATTCTTCAGTGTGAAGCAAACTGATTTTGTCTTGACAGAGTTCTCAAAGTGGTACTTATCCACCTGTGAAGATCAGGAACTTCAAGCGTTCCAAGGAGAGTGACTGGGAAGTTTGGGAATGCTGAATGCCTACGACCAGGACATTCTCTAAAGAGCTGTTCCTGGTGTAACTCTACTGCTAGTGAGGCAACATCATTTGCCCCTGTTGATTGCCGTTTGGCTGATGGCCTCTTGACTTCCAACTGACGATCAACATTTGTCAGTACACTATTAACAGCTTGTGCTGATCTGCTCACCCTGTCAACGCTTTTCTGGGTAATCTTGCCACGAAATCCATGAGCTTGCTCCTTGAAGACCCCGTTATGATGCTCGAGGACTCGGTCAGGCTCAACATTGCACTTTGCTTTTCCCTTGGTATTAATGAATCTGTTCCACACAAGCTCATATGACAATCTTGGTGAAAGGAAACACTGCACTTGAGCTAACAATCTCAAGATGTTGAAGCTATACTTGGGTTTTTGAGCTGCTTTGCAATGGAGCAGAAGGATCTTGTAGAGACGTATGATACGTCCACCATCTCCCATCTGACGAGCATCATTGAAATCCAGTGCCACCATACACATTCCCAAAGCACATCTTGAATAATTCAGCACTCCATCATGATTTCCTTGATGCTGAGGCCCGCAGGCTGATGCAGATGCTGCCTTCATCCCAGAATGAGCCCTTTTTCCATGGTTTACGAGACCTTTCCTGGTAGCGTATTTCTTGTTGCAATCGCTGCACACCCAGGACTGCTCATCAAGCTTCACCTCCTCACTTGATGGGATCATGTAGTGACATATGAACGATTCCATTTCTTTCTCTGCATACTGTTTGAAGTCATGATGCTCTTCCAGGTTGAAGGTGTGCTTTGTAGGCTCAGCATCCAAACTGTCAAGGCCAAAGTAGTCCATAGCTGCAGCAAGAACTAAGGCAGTGGCATACTTTTCAATAAGGTCAGCTGCTGCGTTGATGTTTTTCATGGGATTTGTTGTGACCCCTCTAGCCTCCAGATAGTTTCTTGCCGAGTATAATGTACCCTTGTCAGCAGCTGAGGATGCGTCATAAAGAGATTTCCAAATAACCTTTCAGGGGGGAAAAGATAAAATATTGGAAAATATTAATTATAAGGAATAATCAACTACGTTACAATCCTATATTTCACATCTAAGACAAGTCGGTTTGTGTAAAATTAGGTATATAAAATGCACTGTTACATAAAACTGCATAAGAAGGAGTCCATGTCTAATTCCCAGTGTAATTTTATTATATTTACACTATTTTTTTTTCCAACATCTCTGAAAGTAAGAAGTCAAGTATATGCCAAGTATAATTGATTCTTACTTTCTTGTTCCTTCTAGCTTTCTTTTTTTGCCTCCCCCTTTTGTTTAGCCAGCCTATTTTTATTGCCTTTTTTCCCTATCTTGATTTGAAACTTTAGAAATAACAGAAGAATCTGAGGACATCCAAACAATGATGTAACATAAGTCATGGCTTTGAGGCTCTGTTGAGCATATGCCAATCAAAGCACATCACAAAAGTTTGTGTTGAATTTGATTAGACTGTGGAGCAAAACTACATACAATGAAAATACAACATGGAAGACCTAATCCCACATTAGTAATGAAATTGATCTTATTTTGCCCTAGTGTAAAGTAGTATTCACATTGAATGGAATTTCACTTGAAGCTGAAACTATTTTTTTTTATTAATCTGAATAAAATTTATTCATTCATTATTCACCAGCATTATGAACAAATGTACACAGCCTAACAGCTACATGTAGGGGTTGAATTTCAATACCTGATAGAAGTTTGCTAAAGCATGAAAGTCTGCTATAACAGGCATTAGTCCTTCGAGCCTTTGACTAGGCGTTGACGAGTTTCTCTGTTCCTCGATGCAGTTGGATTCTCTCTCGCATGTCAGAAGATCTCCAGCGCTGATAATGGTGGTTGGTTGTTCTGATGAATGGCCTGGAACGTACTGATGCATATGGTGCATAATCTTTAGGATTCCATCAGTGGTGTTTTCATTCTCATTAAGAACGCCTAAGTTGACCTATATGATGGTAAGAAAAAAGAACAGGCTATCAGTAATGGCTAATTTCATGTCTATCATTTGCAATACTTATGCAGTACAAAGCATGAAATAACAGTTATAACATATTTGCTTAAGATTTGAATTAGCAATAACAACGTTCAAACTGATGATTCAAGCATCTATTAGGCACTCATAATTATTGAACATAAAGGAGGGCATAATTTTGGGGCTAATGTAATTACACACTCAGCCAAAAGGGAAATCCATTTCCAACACTTATTAATGTACAGTAATTGAAAAAAAAAATTGTAGATTTCTTTCCATTCCAAAAAATCTATTATGCAGAATTGTATTATCCCCCATTTTGATTAGTTATTTCTGAACAATCAATGTTTTTTAACATTAATTTTTTTATTCCAGTTTTTATGAGAAAAATATACTCATTTTAAAAATCATCCATGGGAACAAATTATAATCAATTATTACTACCTACCACTTTGGATTTTTTTGACATCTCTGCCATATGTTCATGCGTAATCTCAGATGGGAAGACATTCATCATTTCCTTAAGAGCAGGAATATGCTGAGAAATCATTCTTGCAGCGAGTATCATCCAGTCTCTTCTGAGGATTAGGTTTTCCTGTGCTGTGGGCAGGAACTCTAATGAGTCCACGGAATCCACTGATCGTGTAGGTGGCGCATTAGACAAGTGGAATGCAGTAACTCTGTTTTGATATGCAATCATCTGTACCATGTGGTAGTCCTTGCCATAATTGTCTCTTGTTGGGTGACGTGCATGGACAACCATATCCACATTGTCCATGACAAGTGTATACCCCTTATCAGTTCTACTTCTGTTGTATATTTCTACCATCTCTCCGCCTTCCTTAGCAAGTTCCTTTTCTTTCTCATTATTTTGATGGGCTTCTTCTGCCCATTTCTTTACCTCATCATCAAAGTTGCTCCCACATTCAACTTGCTTTATCAAGGTTGTCGTGTAGGATGCGCAAAGTCCTTTACTCTGCATCCTTGAGAAAGTGCTCTTCTTGGAACAACCTGCCTTCAACGTTAGTGAATTGAGGACTTGATGAGCATTCATATTTTGTGATCTCGTGTTCAACAATACACTTGCAGCCGATACTACCCTTGGCAGCACACTCTCCTTTGTTTTCTCAACATTCCTGTCTCTTCTAGGAGTCTCGGTTGCCGCTTCAAGTACTGAAAGTAATGTTGGAGCTTTGCTTTTTAATTCAGTAGCTTGCTGTTTGATGTTGAAGTTTTTCAAATCACTCAAAGAGGATTCACGGAAAGCTGATTTATTCGCAGGCTTGCACAAAACATCTACTTCATCACGAATTTGCTGTAGGAACGCATCTTTGAAGAAATCATACTGGCTGTTTACCTATAAGAAATGAGTAATAAAATGAGCAAAAAAAATCAATCGTTAAAGAAAAAATAAGGCCCGTTCTATCGAAAACAGGAGCAAGTATGAATAGCAAAATATTTTTTCAATATATAATATGAATACATTTATAAGGCAGGTAGTGTAAAAAAAATACATCCACAGTGCTTGAAAAATCAACATAATTATGCTAATCGATCTGAAATATGATTAACATACCAGTAGGCTTACGCAAATATAAAAAAAAAGGAATTTGTTGGTAATATAAAACAAAAGCTTGTTTTGAGGGAAGTTCTAAATTAGTATTCTTTTAAATGCTGTTCTAATTTAACCTTTTCATTTTTTTGGCCTGCGAATGGAACATACAGTACCTGTAGTAAACAACTGTCATATTTAAGTGCATAGCTGCTAGCAGTCAACTTATGACCTGAGATATTAAGGGAGAAAGAAAATAGTTTCAATTTTCTCCTAATGCAATAACTATAGGGCCTACCTATTAGTATTCCCTACATTTGTATATATATATATATATATATATATATACATATGTTGTTTATCATTAGTATGATTTTCCTTTAAAAAAATTTGTTTGTCCATTTGTCTGCTTTTATTAATACCAAGAAATTCTTGGACTGGACTTGGCCTTTATATATGATTCTGTAGTCTAACCGAGGAGTTACTGGCACTCCTTGGTCTTACACCAAATGTCAGATTGATAAACCCCACCTGAACTTGTTTTCCTCTTTGTGGCACTGGACCAATTGAAGATTCATTGTCAGTCAATGGCTGGAAGTTGATCCTCGTCTTGGACTTGGGTGTTCCAGAAGAACCATGTAGCCTCTTAGTAACATGCTGTAAGGATATCAAAATACACATTCAGTATGAATAATTGCTTGTTAAAAAATACAAAAACATAGATCTAGGTGATGGTGCTGATTTGCAAATAAAATTAAAATTAAAATCATACATTCAGGAATACAATATTTGTATCATTACATAAGGCGAGAACAAATATCACAATAATGCAAGAAAGAGTTTACAAACATAAACTAATTTCAAAGATTTGCATTTCACTGTATCCTATTGAGTTAAGTAGATCTAGCAGAAAAAAAGCGAAAATGATTTTTTTTTTTTTTTTTTTTTAAGTGGGAAGAAAGCTATAGAAACGAAACAGTAAAGAACAAAAACAAATCAAAGATTGTCACAAGACGCAAGATCGAGTAGGCTAGGCCTACATTCATGACATTGCACTTTTTTTTTTTTACATTCGACCAAGCGATGAAGGATTTTGGTCCGACAAGAAAGGTACACCTAGATCTAGATCTAGATCTAGAGATGAAATTTAAATTTGTCTGTTTGATTACTAGTTACCTTTGTTGATGGTGTGCCAGGTGAAAAACAAGCTTCTCTTTTATTCTCCGAATTTGACCCTTTTTTGCTTTTGGGTGTCGTTGCTTTCCTTTTTGGAGTAGAAGGGCTAGAAGAGCTAGAAGAGGCAATTACGGTGTGGTTTTGAAGTGTTCGTTCGTAAGATGAGATTAATTCGACTTGTTGACTTCTCATGGAGTGTACATTTATAACTTTCTTCACACACTTGTCGCATGCATGCTGCGATTTGTTCGTAGAAAAGTCACCAAATATGTCTTTAAAACTCTTCTGCAAGCCACTCCTTGAAGTCTTCGTAGAATTTATATTAATGTAGTGTTTGCAGGTAACTAGGGCAGTATCACAAATCATACACCACCTAACAGGTCTCACGCTATCCATTATTTAAGCAGCAATAATTGGCAAACTCAGTTTCAATTGCTACTGAACTTTTATCCAATACGATGCATGCATGCTTAATGCATTCGGACAATAGTGCACGTGTTGCACGCATTAAGTACATAGGCCTATAGCATTACACGTAACTTTCACATTCACCAACATACACCCAGCGCCCAGGGCTCCCAGGCACGCATACACAGGCCGGTCAGCTGAGCAAGGCCAGCCGATCGGAACGAAACATGCATCATTCATGAGAGGATCCTTATTTGGGAAGCGGGGTCATGGGGTCACTGCTCATTAAATTCGGGCCTCGCTGCCGAGATTAGCTGGTCGTTTTTTTTCGGGGAAGGTGAATTCGTGGGGAGTACGCATATCATACACGCGCGCGCATTTGGGAAAGGGCGAAAGATTAAAACGACCATAAGCTGGTCTAGGTGGATATGTGCGCTATATAAGTATCCAATAATATTATTATTATTTAGATTTATTAGGTTAACTAGAACTCAGCCTCATATTTAACTGTATCTTACCTTATACTCATCAGGGACATCTTGTTGGTTGAGTGGGTAGATCATCCTAACAAACTTGAAACTTTCTGCTACAACATAGACTGGTTTATTAACCACCTTGGCACAGGTTGCTATCTGGTAGGTTCCAATCTGAAATAAAACAAAACACAGATGCAGTACGAAGCTTGCATTCATGGGCTGTCTTGCTACTCAGTCAGACTTCTAAGAATATTGCATTGCATATACAGTCAAACTTGCTTTAGTAACCACCTGTCTACAACAAGCACATTTTTTGTTTCCCTTGAAAATGGTTTCTCATTGAAACACGTATTAAAGGGACCTGTCTACAAAGACCACTTTTTGTGTTTTCCATGGGCGGTCGCTGTAGACAGGTTTGACTGTATATGAAATTGCATACAGTATGACACCTGAATTTAGAGAAATCATTATAAATGAAATGCCATGTCAAAGGGCATAAAATAGGCATTGGGATGGAATTCAAACCCAACTATTTTGTGATTTGTCTAAAATGCTTCTTGGTGGTTACAAATCTTGAAAGACTTACCTTATTGATGATACCTCCACTCTCCACGATTCCTTCTGCTCCCATTATCACCAAGTCAATCTGCTCCATTAGGTAACTAGAACAGTCAAGGAATATATGCAGGAGTAAATAAGTCATGAATGTATATATATATATATATATATATATATATATATATATATCTCACATTATATGGAAGGAAAGCAATCATATATGTTTTTGTTCATTAACAAGATATCCCTCAACTTTAAATTAGAGCCAAGGACTAGACAATAATACATGACTACAATCCAACCCACAGGACCTATAGAAACAAGATGATATGAATTGCCTGCATTCATTTAATCCCCAAATTGTGAATTAAGTGCCCAATGTACACAACTTTCCAAAATGGGTGGTGCTATACTACTATGTAAAAGAAAGGCATTAGTGAATATAAACAAATCGAAAAGAAATCCATAAGGCGGTTTCCTACAATGTTTCTTATGCTTACCAAGCAGCTGAATCCAAGATAACTACAGTTGGAATCCCAATGTCTTCTAACTCCTTGGCCATCTTTAGTCTATGAATTGAGAAGAAACAAAATCAAATATAACATAAAGAGATGATACATCAAAATAAAAGCTGCCTAGAAATAGATGATCTCTTATCAAATGTACATCTTTACATTACATTGTGAAGCAAAATACAGGTTGTGATTACAGTAATTTATTATACTAAGCCATCAATGAGTGTCCTAAGTTTTAGGTATGCAATTTATTAATGAGGACAAAATAGAAAGCTTTAGACACATTCATACATTTTGCAACGAAAGAGAGAAGTAGAGGAGAAAACTAGAGTCAGTAACACAGCAGACAACCACATTCTGGTACAACAAAATCATCTACATTTCAAGAGGAAAAAGCAGATAAGTATCATATCCCTCTATACAAAAACGGCATCTACTTACCCTGATTTGTCTGGGCAAGATTCTGTGACAAAGACATTGAATCGTTTCTTAGCCTTGAATGCTTCGATTAACACCTTCACTACCACCCTAGAGTAGGAGTGAGTCAGAACATTCTGAAAAAGAAAGAAAAGTAAAATATGGAACTATATAAAAATATGCAAATCATAGTTTTCTGTAATCTACCAGTAACAGCAAGTGGAATATCACCAGAAAATTTCTTAAATTGAAAGTTGATTTAACAAATAGCAATAAGTTCACTTTATGATGATATAATTTGGCTTGGTGAGATCAAAGGTCGTCACGAGCCTAATCCTAGTCTGTATTCCCAGGTTCATTTACTTCTACAAATAATAAAGAACAGCATAAAATAACAAAACTACACACCGAACTTGTAGTTGGTAGAAGGCAGGTTGAGTCTCAAAATTGTCTTGTATCCAGAATTTCAAATGAACATATTTACAACTCATCACAAAGGCTTATCTCTATTATATGTGTTAAAACACTGTATAATAATTTCTCCTTATAACTGGCTATCCTATTTAAGGTTTAATATTTCAAGTCTATCTTCACAATGCAAACTCTGCAATTTGCTAGATAATATAGATGAACATATAATATAAAGGAGTTCCATTCTATAGTTTTCTTCTATTTGGAAGAACCAATGAATTAAATTGAAATCTGATGGACAAAAAGGTTCATCTTGTCTTTAGTTTCAGCACTTTTCCTATGAAAAACCAGAAAATAGAGGGCGTACTTGGAAAGCAGTTTTGTTAAACTGAATGTACCTACCCTCTATTTTAAATGAAACTTGAATAAAAAAAATAATAAATAAAATATATGATCATCAAGTTTCAAGCATGCCTATCACACAACACAATAAACTAAGGATAATGTATAAAATATGACCTTGCATTGAACTTACAGCTCCATGTGTGATGAATGGATGACCAAGCTTGGCAATCTTATCTCTTGATCCAGCTACCGTGTCTAGGTATATATTCCCTCTGTTCACTAGGATCTTCTTGCATTCATCAAAATTCTGAGATATAAAGATGAAGAAAGAGAAAGAGAAGTAGGTCGAGGGAATTAATGGGAGAGAAGAGGGGGATGGTAAAAGAGAATGTGCATGAGATTTATCGGATAGAGTGTCGGATAGAGTGTGAGATAGCGGTATTTTTTACTGCTAGTTTGTTTACCATTCTGTCTCTCCCTCTCTGTCTTTCTACTATCTCTCTTTCCCTCTCTCAAATTCATTTTTGCAGAAGGAGCAGATACCTTAACATAATCTGAAGATGTGTTTTTTTTTCAATCTCTATGTCCCCCCTCCCCCACCTCTCTCTCTCTCTCTCTCTCTCTCTCTCCTCATTCATCTCTGAGAGTGGAGCACAAACGCTGCTTTTACATCATATGGAGATAGCACAGATCAGGATGGTGAAAACTCCTGTCATCTTTGTTTTTCAGTTTTTCTTCTTCTCCTTCTATCTTCATCTCTCTCATTCTCTCTCTCTTCCTTTGTACAACAGTCATTACTGGAAAAGACAAATACCTTGTGATCTAAAGCTGCAAGAGTGATGAACCTTAGAAAGAGCTCACATCCTGATGAGATGGCTGTCACTGAACTGTCTGTTTCCATCAGCCATCTGATACATTCCTTCAAGCCATCCCTTAGACCAGCTAACGTCTCAGCTATTTATCAACATAAGCAAAACATACATTATGAACTTCAGATTTCTAAAATAAATACCCTGCAATATGGATTAATAAAAATATATTCCTTCACTTGCTCACAGAACACTTTGATTTTAATTGGCTACAATACAATTTTTTAAACCATTGGAAAAGAAAAGAAAAATATTTTGAATGCTATATTTTCTGTACCCAAAGAAATTCTGATCAAAGAAACATTTTGAATAGCATGTCTCTTATCAGGTCTAGTTATATGAGGTCAAGATATGTTTATCCTTAAATGTTTGAATATAAAAACACCTTTTCTTGGTCTCTCATTCTGTGCAACATCATGTTGAAGATACATGGATCTATCTGTAAAGGGATTCTTTGGATATGCTAAGTCTTAGTAATAGCATTGTTACATGTTACATGAAAGATTGTCAACACTATGTATACAGCATTACAAATTCAATGCAGGCATACGATCAGTGCAGACAACAATATCTCCCTGTAATAAATCGGTTGTGTCAGTTACCTTGACTAAGTTTGAGGTATTCTATGAGTGTGTTGATAGCTGCCACAGCTGCAGAGATGTCCTGGTTTGTGGACATGTACTCTGTAAAATAGCGAATGGCATCTGAAAGGAAAATAACAAAATAACAGGTATGAAAGGCAAGTGAAACAGACACAAGAACGAAAATAAAATAATATGGCATGAGAGAGGTAATGATATGAACTCCTAGAAGTAGGAAATTTATGATCCACAAATATTAAAATCAAGGATTGTTGGTATTTCATGGGAGTGTTTGTTTGTGGGTGTGTGTGTTTCTGTGTCTATAGATCTGTGGAAAAATATGCATACAATTAGTATAGACCCTACAGGCTTATTGCTAGGATGATATTATATTGCCTTTAAATTCAGAATTCAGTATTACTACTCTACCCTTTTTAAGGAAACCGACAACTAGAATCGTAGAAAGAAAACTATTGCATGAATGTTCCTGATCATGCATCTCGACAGCTGAATTGCAATGGCTGTCTATTTTGGAAAGCATAGGCATTAGGCATAGCCAATTTGATATCAAATTATGAGCGATTTACATTAGCGTCAGTCCCTCGGTGCGATTCAAACTACAAATTGAACTGTAGAGTCTATAAGTAACCAGACATTGTCTAGACAATTTGAAGAAAAAAATCACATACAATTTTTTTATAAATTTTGACCATACACACGTCTCGGTATATGACTTGCGACTTTGTTGGGCAATATCATAAAGGATGAATGATTGAATATATCTATATTACTGTCTGTGCTAGACTATTTGATGCATATTTTTTTCAAAAAAATCCAAAAGCAAAAGTGACAGCCTTATTTTCGCTAAGCGCCCGGACACACAAACCTCGGCCATACTTCCTTTCTCCTTCATTTTTTTCTCCGTGCCGGACGGAGTCCGACTCGAGCTGCGCCTGAGGCTCTGTCTTCTGTTCCCCCTCTCTCCCCCTTTCTGTAGAAATATCATCATGACATTGACATGTCCTTCTTTCCTTTCTCAATCTCTTTCTTTTTTCCCTGTTTTTTTTACTCCTCCTGCGCCTTTTCTTCCTATTCGGCTCCCCGAATTTATATCAGACCTATCTAGTTTTCAATCGCATATAAATGAGTTGCAAATTGACTACTTTTTTTCTTCGATGTTTACCGCTGGCCGCACACCGGGGACCGTAACACAGTAACAGTAACAAGTAACATTTGGAGAGAACCGAAGATAAAAACCTAACATCAAATCCAACGTCTGGGACAGAAGGATAAATATTTCGTAACAGATATCTGCCGCGTTTATCTGTATTCAAGACAATATGCACACAAATAATCTTACTTTAAGAAGAACACATCATAATAGTGCTAGTTTACCTTCTTTGTTCATTGCTATTGTGGGAATTCGTTGTTTATTCTAAAATTAATCTGACGACATATGCTTGCACTTTCCTTGTCTGAAACTGGCGACTAATATTGCAATCCGTAGGGATTTCGATGGTAGGGATACACTAGTATAGTGTCGTCAAAAGTCAAATCGTAGAGAATTTTTTTTTTTTTTTTTTTGCAAACTCCATTTACAGAAATGTCAATTAGGGGAAGTGACTAGATTTTATTAATTCATTAACTTTACATAACTATCTTGATCTAAGGAGACACGAACGAACGAACTATATGGATACTAAAATGATTGTATGTCAATTCAACTAAATAATAATTTTTATGAGATGAAACCTATATTTGCTCTTTATTTTCATAAATATCACATGCAAAGCATCGTGTCTGGATCTCATCGGCAAATCGGAGGGCTTAAAGGTATTACAAAGTTTTGGGAAATTTTGAAAAATGGGTGGTTAGTGATTCTTTACAATTTTAATATATTTGGATGCCCCTGTGGATGTATTAAAAACACCAGAAATGTTAGCCCCTAAAACACTTCTGCTTTCGAGAAAAATTGAATATAAAGATTTACCGGTGCTCCCGGTAAATTTTGATAAATTTCAAATAGCTCCTACGGCCGTACAATGGTAGCTGCGACCATGAACATCTCAGAGTATGTAGTTGCGGTATATAATTTCCGAACGAGAATAGCTAATCTGTCAATTTTAGTCAATAAACATTGTTTTATAGCTTAATTAATATCTTGACCTTGAGAGGGAGCTATTCAACATAAAGTTTTTATTATTCACAATTTCATAACTTTAGAGTCGATTTCGACCGCGACAACGATCACTGAATATTGTAATATCGTATATGCTTCCAATACGTTCATTTGAACCAAATTCATGACCCCATACCAAAACTTTGTATTACCTTTAATATCACACAACACGGTGAATTGGACAGAAATCGTGATGACATTTTAAACTTTAAAAATGACCACATCATATAAAAACTGAATTTCTTCTCTTCACTCTCATATATAATACATGTCGAAAAAAGAAAAATCTGGATCTTTTACTTTCCGAGATTGAATTTAGGGGGGGGGGGGGCTGAACTCTACCACTGTGTCGAGTTGTGATTGGCTGATTAGCACAGTAGACTGAACTGAAAAAGTAGGCCTTAAAAAACCCCACACATTTCGATCAGGATATTTCCTTTAATTTGGGGGAGTTTTTAAACTCATTACACTTACGCTTTTCCTACTTTATATTAATGATATGCCATTTGCTACACGTTACTTTAACTTTCGACTCTTTGCGGATGACTCAAACTTATTCCATACATTTCCTGAAGGGCAAAAAGAAATTGATATGACTGAAGTGAACACAAATCTTCAAATTGTTTCAGACTGGTGTAATGCTAATAAACTGACAATTAATTTACAAAAGACGAGTTATATGCTAATAAGAAACCAGAGACGGCAGATTAATGTTCAAGGGCAACTGGCTATATCAGAAGCTGAAATAATAGAAGTTGATTCTTCGCTCTTTGTTGGGATAAAGATTGATAAACACTTGACTTGGAAACCCCACATACAAATGGTTAATAAATGCATCAGACAAAAAGTAGGAATCCTCTTCCGCTTACGGCATTTTGTGCCTAGAAATATCCTAGTGTTGTTGTATAAAACCTTTATTCAACCTCATATATCATACGGAATTGAAGTGTGGGGGAGCACTTACAAGTCTCACTTAAATTGCATACTGTATACACAGAAGATGGCCATACGGACAATCACATTTAGCCATTTTATGAGTCGTTCAGCACCATTGTTTTACGAATTGAAAATCTTAGATATTAACAAGTTCTATGAGTTGTCTCTATGTACATTTATGTATGACCTAGTACATAATAATTTACCTCACTGTTTGACGGATTATTGTGATAAAATTGAGCATAGATACAATACAAGAAAAAGAGAAAAGGGCCATCTACGTATACCACTGTATAAAACAACACAAGGCAAATTTTCAGTAACTTGTGTAGGAACCCGATTATGGAATGAACTTCCCGATGAAATCAAAAACAAAGGGTCTAGAAACACTTTTCGTAAACATCTCAACGATTACTTGATGAATAAGTGATTGAATTATGCAAGTACACATGTATATATTGTAAATAATCTCCATATTACATTTTTGTTGTTTTTTTTTGTCAAAAAAAAATGCAATTTTTTGTATAAATAATCTGTAGATACATGTATCTATGACTTTTTAACCTGGTATATCCTCTTCATAATTATATTTGGAGTGTAGAAATTGTGCTACGGTATTACTCAACATGTATACTTCTACTGTCAAGTTTTATTTTTTGATAATGATATATTTATTTTTGCCAAGTGTGTGCTAAGAACAGGGGCCAGACTCGACTAGCACATGTGCTATTATTTGGCTCCTTTTCATCACCTTCTATATTCTATGAGAAAAGACATATGTCTAGCATATCAATACTTTGTTAGGTTTTTCTTTAATATGATCTATAATATTCATTTATGAACATGTACCATTCACGATGTATTCAAATGTTTAATCACTGATGTTATTGATGATGAATAAATAAAATCAAATCAAAACTTAATAATGACCTATATCATAACGGTTGGCCGGTTGGCATACATTATATTTTTGTTAAACATGACAACGCCCCATTATGTATAAATTTTGCTTTCGTTTTTCAATTTATTATTTTGTTGCTTAAATATAGACCTACATGGTTTTGTATTTATTTTGGTATATTATTTCATTTATTATTTACAAGCATTTTCAATATACAAATAGTTCAAGCTCCAAAGTGACTGAGAGAGGAAGATTTTTTATTTTTAACTTTAGTTTAAAATGTACATAAATAGAAAAATAGGCCTACAAATACTGCGCAGAAAATAAACACAAAGTAACCTATAATAGGTGAAGTCAAGGAAAGACCACTTATAGGGACAACGCAATCACCGCCAGAAAATGATATATTTTCTGGCTGATATTACAAGATAAATGTAGGAATATTTCCCGACATAGCATCACTGACTTGAAGGACATTAAATTAATTTAAGTTATAAAGAATTCAACTGGTTGTACAGCACACTATATAATAATTCTTTATTATTTGAGATTGCCAAAGTGGTTAAAAATAATATTTCCCAACATGGCAACAAGCTGTACTGTCACTTCAAGAGAGCAAAACAAATTAGAGACACACATGACTGCAATATAATTTGGCAACATTACTATTCTTCAACAGAGATAATATGTTTAAAATGTCATGTTTGAATAAAGCTCGAGAGTTTGATTCAACTTTCAAGTTTGAGTATTCACATTCTATAATTAAACTGTCTCTAGAGCAAAATTAACAAATGAAGGCCAATTTATTCTTGATCATTGGCACTTTCCTTTCAAAAATTAAAATTTGAGTGAAAAAAAAACTCTTTCCATATATTGAAGAAAAAAAAATCGCATTATAAGGACAATAATTATGAAAGAAAAACTTTCCTTTCCTTATTTTATAATGGATATCTAATATTTTTCTTAGGATTCTTCCCGCATTTCAACCAAATCGGAAATAGGTATCTGCATTAGATATAGCGCCATCTATATTTGTTTGTGGTCCTGAACGAATTTGTAAGGAATGTAGATCAGTGTGTTTTATACAGGTTTATTTAAAAAAAAATTATAATCGATCATTTAAAAAATGTATTCAAGGTGTACAAGAGTGTTCATAATTATACTGGGTTGTTAGTCATTCCCGATTACTAGTCACCTAGACGCATTAGTATTAATAATATTGTTTGCCTTTCGATTTCTTTTTTTCTTCAAAGAAAATATAGGGGAGGGAGAAGGGGAGACAAGAAAGTGAGCTAGAAAAATATATAGAGAGAGAGAGAGAGGGAGAGAGAGAGAGAGAGGAGAGAGAGAGAGAGAGAGAGAGAGAGAGAGAGAGAGAGAGAGAGAGAGAGTTTAAACCGAGGGCTCGTCAACTACACCCCTTTAAAAAATTAAAAACAAAAATCATGAAAGTCACAATTCGACAGTTAGATGCGATGTTATAAAAACAAGAAAATACGGCACTGTTTACAACTCCAGATGCGTATCGACTATATCGAGGGATTATAGCATGTAATAAAATTGAATGGTACCCTGCACCCCCCTGCACAAACTTATCAGTTGAAAATATAAAGCAGATTAAAGGGTAATCCAACCCTTGTTTTAAGAACATTAAGTATGAAAGCATAATAAGATAAACAGACTTGTGAAAGTTTGAAATACATCGGAACAATAATCAGAAAGATATGAATGTTTTGATTGGCAGTTTGTGACGTATAGTCGCAAATAACTCAATATCATTTATTTCTGTTTTTCTTCTACTCTCTCCCAGCATGGAGCACTACTCAAAATATATAATGGCTAAAGAACACCCCTGAGTCTTACATTGAAGAAAATTTGAAATTTTAGTCATTTTGTCTGTTGGAGCAAATGGAAAAATGTCCGTCACTACACCTCCATGTCTTCACATGCAGACACATTACCGATTCAGCCAATTTGAAGAGCCCACAATGACAATTACTTTCAAAGTTCATAACATTCTCATCTTTTGTCTAATTTCATTCAAATTTTCACCAGGTTACTTCTCTTTACTTTCCTCTATATGAAGTAGTTTGCTATCAAGGTTAGATTTCTCTCCAATGCATGGTTTGAATAAAGAAATTGCATCTAACACTGAAAAGACCTTGATATAAATAGATATACTAGAGTGCGGGGGGGGGGGGGCAATTAACGACTGAGCATTATTTAATTTTTCACTTCTTAGCCTCAAAATATAATACCCAGTTGTATACCCATGCAGACCTATAGACAAGTAAATCGAGTTGTAAATTGGAAAAACCAATGCCGGTAGCCTACTATTTATGATTTATTGGGCGCAATTATACAGGCCTGTTGAAAATCCTGAAGACTTGTATACGTCATGAACCTAGCTAACAAGGCAAGGTTGGATTTCGGTTGAATGTTGAGCCTTCTGCAAGCCTTTTTTGCCCCCCCCCCCCTCACGGGGCTAAAAGGTGTTCCAATAAAGTTCAAGTTCAAGTTGAAAATAGAATTGCTGCCTTTTTTGTTTACACACTGTTAAAACAAGTATTACAAAACTGCGGGTTAAAAAATTGTTGATTTAAAAAACGCTCAACCATGGTTAAAAATGTAGTGTTGATTAAAATTTTAACCAACTTGATTAAAAATTGTAATACTTGTTCTAACAGTGCACAGTCTTTATCATTTATTTGAGGCGCAAAATGTAACAAAAATACTGATGAAAACTGAATTCTATGGAAGATAGTGTTCGAATGTTGGATTTCTTTCTGAATTTTCAAAATGCTATCCATGCACTGCATGCATCTCCACTGGCGTACTGATGAGGCGGGGGTGGGAGGCCGAGGGAAGAGTTGCCCCCTCAATTTTGTGTTCAAGCGTGGCTTATTTCTCACAAATGTTACTGAACTGACATGATTTTCCGTTTTTTATTGTCACACTTTCGTCTATTCTGTCCCCAAAAAAGCTTTTGCTCTTTACGCCACTAAGTATATAGCTGCATCTAGCGCTATTGGCACATAATTACGAGATGATGAAGAAACAACAGGCCTATCATTATTTTGTGAGGAAGCAAAGCGATCCAGTTTTAGACAAAACAAATTGTACGCGTTTTTTCTTCTTCTTCTTCTTCTGCTTTTTTCCTTTCATTTGTTTAATGCACTCATCCGATTAATGGGGTGCACATACAATGTACGCTGTTGCCCGTAAACATTTTTTTTTTTTTTGTCTTACGGTAATTTTTCATGAAATGATATGGTTTATTCTTGATATATATGAAGTTTATATCTTCTCAGAATTTCATTGGTCAATCCATAGACCTACTTCGTAGTAGGTCCATGGTCAATCTCTGTGACTCTTTTAGATTAGACTTATCAGTGAATTACAATGAAACAATCATTCGACCTTGCCGCCAAAAGAAACGATTTTAGAAATAAACCCGCGCCTTATCTAACGGTTCACTGTCCTAACCAAACAATAACATAATCATAAATTCAACAAGGTTAAAAGTCCATCCGTGCTGTGCTAAGATTTGGTTTCCTTCGAAAGCTGATTTGCATACAGACCAAAACAAACTTCTGTGAATTCTATTTTTGGCATCATATCGCTATGCGATGTCCCTTACGGATGAGTTCATTATTTTGTAGGGGTGAAAAGCTTAACGTGTGTAATGCTCATGTTAATAATATTCGCACGTGGAGAGATTTTTGAGATATGAGGGCCAATACTGAAATCTTGGTTTTCAACCAAAAGTAGTTTGGCTGACAAAGAACGAAAATCTGTTCTGAAGTAATCTGGCATTGATATCAATGTTTTCTTTCTTCTTGTGTTTTACTAGGCTTTCAACCGGAAATGGTTTAGACAAATTTTACTGGCGGGAAGTATCAGTCATAATTTCTATCTTTCATCTTTGTTAAGGGAAACCAAAATTACAAAGTTTTCACCATGCCGAGAGGCGACAACTTTCTATGTCCTACTGTGCACTTTTCCTTTATTGTATCCATGCCATGGCTTGTTTCACTCGTGGGAAACTTCAGTCCCCATATGCCGAATATTTAGGCCTTTACTTTTTAATTATCTCTCTCTCTCTCTCTCTAAAATTAAATGCCATATCGTTTGACTTTGGCGATCATGCTGTTCCACAACCCTCTATCAGAGAGTTAAATCTGCATTATAGTTTATGATCACGTTAGGATGATACCCTTATCCTTTATTTTATACGCAACCTTCACACAACCCGTCAAACTTCGACTTATAGAAAGCCATTTATGTAACTTCGGCAGACTCACAGTGCCGACGATCTCCGACCTGAGCGGAGGAAGGATACAAGAGAGAGAGAGAGATAGTACAAAATATGATTTGGATTGTAAGCATATAGCCTATCGGTGAAAATATTTTCATCAACATTATAGGCCTACATTCAATCGAGACATTTAATGATATAGGGTAATAGCGTTATATTCATAATGTTTCACACGAATTAAAACAAAAATGAACAAAGTAGGCTTACAGGTGTGTTTTTTTTTAAATAGACACTAAATTCAATTATGCCATCTATTGCAATCTTTGCGAAGAATGCAAATTAGCCCTGGCGATGTAACAGCAGGGCCTGAGGATCGTGGAATTACCCATTCATTGTATATATTTTTGTGGGGTGAAATTTAATTTTTTTACCGACAGTGTTAATTTCTATTTCTTCTTCTTCTTCGAGATAATCTGCCTCCTTTAATACTGAAGATTCTTGCAAATGCCGTATACTCGGCCTGATTATTTTACCATCAACATTCACTGATTTTTCTTATAAAATGAATAATTAGGAGAAACTTTCATACAGATCATGCCCACTGATACTTCTAAAATTAATTTCACTTTCATGAAAAACTATCTTGCTTCTGAATGATGAACGAAAAGAACAAAGAAGATTTTCTTCTAAGGTTATCACTAGTTCACACATGGCATGGCCAGAATATCATTATAAAGAAATACAAACCCTGTCTACAACAAAGACATTCCTTTACTATATCATATTGCAACCCCCCCCCCCCCCCCCCCCCAATCCGTTTCTTTGTTCCTCATAATTTTAGTTCCTACCCGTCGAACGTCTTGAACACCCCTATATGACAATGAAGGTGCTCAGGTCATACGGACTGCTCACAACAAGTTACCTTTTCGCCATCGAAAATCTCGTCGATCGCACGCGCGCAACTGAATCAAAACATTGGAAGCCATTCATTGGAATTTTCCCGCGACTTGGGGATTGGATTTGGTATTATATCTCATCATTCGATAACCTTTCAGCTAATATCAACAATTGTTGTGAGCTCCTTTTTGCGTTTCTCGTCGGTATTCCTCCATTACATATCACTTCAGTATTTTCCTGCGGAGCAAGCACCATTTGTAAGTAACATTGATGAAGTTATTATGCCAGCTGCCAGCTGTGTGTTGGCTTGCGCAATGCAGTATTCCATGCATCTCGGTCTTGTATCTCGTATCTCACAATGCAATGCAGGTTGCTTATTGCATGGGATGCAAGTCTGTTTTGTCGACCATGCTGTATTGACTTGTTGTGTACATGACATCAATTGTAATGCTTTGTCCTCCGTACTGATTACTACTGAATAAGATGAATTGAGAGCCCCTGAAATAAATATGAACGCCAAATGTAAAAGATCTACTTAAATGTATTACATCTGCTAAACACTTCCTGGAACTAGCAATTTAATAAACAAACCATGAACATATTATTTCAATTTTACCAAACATTTAATGAATAAAAGAGTGGAAGAATATCTGACTTAATATGTGAGATATGATTACATTGACTTTAAAATGTTCTTGATTGTGTGTTTTAAAATATATTCTGTTGACATTTAAGAGGGCATTGCAAGACATTCAATTTTCAATTCAATTAATTAATTTTTCTTCTTTCAGTCGTTCACATTTACAATGATGGTACATTTTAACGCATTCACATATTTATATGCATTGTCTTACTAAGGAGCCCGAGAAGACAGGTGAAATAGTGAATGGTGAAAGAATGTATTAAACTTGAGTAGAAGTCTAGTTTAACTTAAAGAAAGGAAACTTAAAAATTTCAAGTTCAATTTTTACAATTCAATTTATGATAGTCACTCTAACTTGTAAGTTTTAAGGGTCTAGCTCTAGGTCTAGATCTAAAAATTCAAGCACTTTCTCTTTTTTTTAGACAATTATAAGTAATGTAGACTCGTCTCTAGGTTACATTTTTATTTTCATGGTAGATCTACATCTCTTTATTTATGGGGATGTTGTTGTTTTTCTTCTATTACTGTATTAGAAATTTAGAATATGCTTATAAATGAAAAGGGGTAGAATTAGAATTCCCATATTGCAGAACCATCAACATGTAGTGCTGTGTGATTGTGTGATTTTGATGAATCAACATTGGCTCACAAGAAAATAAAAAATGATAACAAAATAATAATATGAGATTTGTATAGCACCCACCGAATTCACTTGAAAGCAAATGCTCAGGGGGCACACTTGTGAAACAGAAATAAAAAAGAGATTGTTTAAAAGCATCTGCAATATAAAATAAAGAAACAGGAGTAAGAAAAATAAATGCAAAATTGAAATTTAATGATATGATATGCCAAATTAAACAGATACATATTAATATTATATGTAAACAGTTCGACTGATCTACTAATAACAAATCTCTTGAGGGAGAGCACTCCAAGACGTAGGCTCTGCATGAGCAAAGTTTTTTTTCCCCCTCTTAGTATTCAAGAAATGAAGTTATACATGTAAATCGAATCTTAGATTCTAAACTGTACATCCTGTTTCTAGCTTACATGTTCATATACATGTACAGATACTACATTGTGTAGATGGCAGTTTTCAAAGCAAATATTTTGTCTGAAGTTCTGAGAACTGTTATTTGTACAGCTCTGTGAATTACATGTATTTGCTTCCGGTGTTTACCTTGTGCAACAAAACACCATTTATTGAGTGCACCATTTGCTGAGGAGTTATGTAAATATAAATTTCTATTATTCTGCTGCAAAAAATGTTCACAATTCTGAATGGGATTATCATTAGGAATACATCTATCAGAAAGAACATACTGTATGAAAACTTTTACATAACTTTTTCAATCGTTCAATTCAATGAGGACAAGAATTTTTTTTTTTTTTAAGTTTGATAAACCAGCAGTTTGGTTGAAAAATATGAAATTCTTCTTGGATCATGAATAAGTCACATTTGTACTTACAAATACAAAATGTACTCATATTTTATATATAATGCATCTACATCATTATCGCCATTAGGACATTTCCTTTATATAATATCCCCAGACTTTACATTTTCATTATTTTGTTTTTATAACCATTCTTGCTTGAAGCATTGCACACAGACTGCTCATATACATTTTTATCTGCAAGACTTTATAATATATACCAGAGAGATCATACAGCATTAACTGAAAGTTTGCCATTTTTTCTAATACACTCGGCCTACATCATGTACGTGTACATTATATAAAAGTTGCTGCTTTGGACTGGTGGCTTTTCTAGAGAGGCGGCTTTTTCTAGAGAGGATCTTATATGTCTACATGTAGGTCTACATGTATTTTTTTGTTAGAAGGTGGTACAAATATAGGTGATGATCAAGTAACCTTGATAGAGGTGGCTAATCATATAATACAGGTTGAAATTAGATGTACATGATTGTCAACATACATGTACTGTGTACGTGTGCATGTGCATGTATGGTACGTCAAGTGTTAGACTTTGAAATTAAACAAAACTTTATTTTGGGATGTTATCTCCTAAATATACAAATAATAAACTTTCTATTACTGGTATACCAATGTTCAAAGCTGTTTCTCTATCTTTGACAACCCATTTAAAGGAAAAATTAGATCAATATAAATGTGATCCCCTAATCAAGAACCTGGATATGAAGTACATTGTAGTCTGCAAAACCAGACTCTTTGACTTTAATTTATACTACCTTTGTCAGTCTCTGGCAAAGGCAGATGAAAGCAGCTGCATGAAGTGCAAATCCTTGTTGCTCGGGCTATACATTTTCATTTTGGAAGCCAGTACACCAAGTCTTAAGAATTAACTTTTTAGATTGTTTATAAATTATGCATGAGCCCTAATGCCAACAAATTGAAATATTGGCAGCTAGTCTGTACATGGATTTTCATGTAAGGCACCCATGTGTCCTGTGCGTCTGTTAGTGTCGAGCCACTGCTTTAGATTCAGCTTAGAGACCTAAATTAAAGTTCTGATCCTTTGTGACAAGACTGACAAGCTTTTTATTTCCTTTGAACTAGTTCTTACGAAGCTCAAAGTCTGGGATGATGTATTTGATTTTATCAGTGCTTTAGCCATGTGTTCCATAGCCATGTGTCCTACTAGCACGTGGCAGTGTGTTGCCTTGAATAATACCACAGCCTCTTTGTTGTTCATCATCCGTGAGCTTCGTGAGGAAGCAATGTCTTAGTCACGTTTCATAGTTATCTTTTGATGAGACAAACGAACTGGTCATTTATCTTTTATGTGTGCATACATGTACATGTTTGTTATTGTTGAAAGATATACAAGCATTATAAAAGGTGATTATAGTCAATATTTTGAAGCAATTACAGTGTAAGAAGTTTGGAAATTAATCATTTTATCATAAAGACTTCTTAGTCAGGCTCTTACGAATTTGAGAGATTAAAAAAATACATAATGATATTGAAAACAAAGAGTGTAATTTAGTTTCTGTTAAATGGGGGGGGGGGGGGGGGGTCATTTCCATGTTAATGAAATATCATTCATAGCCAATACATGTATAGGATCAATGTACAGCAGTTTTAGTCTCGTTGATGATGTAATTAAAATTTGCAACAACAAGAATAAATAGATTGTTTTTGTCATGCTCCAGTTAACGCCATTTGTGGGGAACATAAAAACAACCATCAGTTGCCCACCAGTAGTGATTAGTGTCTCTTGAATGAAGATGTTAATTTGGTTGTTTATCGCTCACAGCTTGATTGACATGCAAAACATTATTCCCTCCCACTTTGTACAGGGTGACTCAAAAAAAATACACAACTTCTCATTAGATTCATATCCTGCAAATGAAATTGTGAGCAAATAGGCTTTCATATGATTTGATTTTGGGGCCAACTATTTCCTCTTTCTTATTTTACAATGGTAGGAGTGGAGTAGGACCACTACCCCCCCCCCCCCACAACAAAAAACTAAATAGTTGGGAGAAAACATAATTTTACCAAAAATGGAAGTACAAGATATTGTGGAAAGGTTCAATTTTCACCTTTTTTTATGTGTATTTTCTGCGTGAATGAAAAAAATATTCTTAAGAACATGAGGATAATTGATACTTCATTATGGTTTATGAATACACTGTAAACAATACACAAATTGCCATCCATGTATTATAAATCAAATGGAATTATATAAATTACATTTCAATAGACGTGAATTTGAGATGAGGCTTTAGATGTACAGTAGATGAATATTGGTGGATCATGTAGAGTATGTGCGTGCAATATTCCAGCTGAAGCAGTGAGGGAGGGAGGGAGGGAGGAATGAAAATTGGATTGAATTCAATTTAAGCATGGATTACCAGAACCCCACTTCCTTTTCTCCCACCAGGCCTCTGCATATTTTTCATATTTCGGGGTCCTAGAAGAATGTGGTGTTTATGTCAAATATGTAGAAGCATGGCTCCATCATCCTCCTCTATAGACTTCCTTCTGCAGACGTAGGATTGTACATGTAGTCATGTACATGTATGGTCATTGACCAGTCACAGCTCCATCCCTCCGGCCCGGCGGCCGCATGCCTCTTGTGATTTTGATCTTCAACCTCATGCTTGTTGTCCTGGAAATAACCTTTGCTGAGGGTGATATGTACACTGTACATGTACATGTACAGTGTACATACTGTATACATGTACATTCGTACCTTAGGCTTACATGTAAACATCTAACCTTGCACCACTTGAGCAGTATGCAGCTTACCTTATATTACTTACATGTAGTAATTTAGTATGCATTTTTATGGTTAACATTTATTGACTTGAAAAGATTTAAAATCATTGTAAATATATTCTGGAGTATCTCATTCTTGAACTCATGCTATCACTGAAAATAAATGTCCACAATATGGGCTTACAAGTTTACTCCTATACATACAGTATACAAAAAATGACTGATATACATTGTATTTTGCTATAAGTGCTATTCAACTTCTTGCTAGTAGCAGGATCTATCTTGATTCACCAAAATCCCTTCAAACATTCATGTAATGTTAGCGAGGCTCAAATGTCTTGTTAAAACCAAGTAGGCGGACACTAACATGATGAACATGCACTTGGATTGCTGGCTAAACAAGCTT